TATCTGATTGCACTTCCAACTTTTAGCTGATAAATTTTCATACATCTTTGCTAATATCACTGGTGGTAGATGCCATCTATAAAACATTTTATATAAGTTCTCCTTATAGGCCGTTGACATTGTTAGTTTACAATTTCTATCCCACAGTTTCTGCCATTTATCTAATTCTATTGGGTAGCCAAAGTTTTTAGCCCATCTTATCATTGTTTCTTTCACTTGTACTTTTTCCAGTTTAATACTCAGTAAATAATTGTATATTTTTGACAATTAATTTTTCATCTGTCCCAGGGGTGAAATGCTCCTGGATAGGACCGGATCGGCCGATCTGGTAGTGATGATAGCCGGTAGTTCAGAGAACCGGTAGCGATGGCAGCTCGAGGGTCCGCCCACCCGCCCAGAAATCAGGAAGTAACCTGGTTTTTTGAGCCTCTGCACATGCGCTGGGGCCAATGGGGCAGTGGTGGCAGCACTGCATGTGCAGCCCCGGGTCATCCGCCCTCTCTCCCAGAGTGCTGCTGCCGGCCCAAAGCTTGTCTTCACCTCTGCAGCCCACTGGCCCCTCTTGCCCTTCTCTTTCTGGGTGCAGTGTTCCTGCTTGTTGGGCCACTTCCCCGCAGTGCTTCTGCTGGTGCCACCATGCAAGCCTCCCATGAGGAAAAAGAGGGGAAAAAGCAAAGCAGCTGGCTGCGGAGCTGCCAGCTTCAGGAAGTGGCTCAACAGGCGGAAGCGACATGCCCAGAAAGAGACTCCGGCCTTGCTCAGGAGCCACCACCCATTCGCAGCCCGCTCACTAGCCCTTCGCCTTGAGTCAGGGCCATGGTCCAGGGACGCGCCATTCCCTGAGGCCCTGGAGCTGCCGCCTGCTTGCCACCTTCCTCAACTACATCGGGGAATGCACCATTCCCTGACTCCAGCCTTTCCCCGGAACTGCCACCTGCTCTCCCTTTGCCACACGGCATGTCCTTACTTTTCTCCCGTGGCTGGCTGCCAGGGAAGGAAAGCTCCTGAAAGTTACTGGAGCCACTCTCCTTCTTGAATGTGCTGCCGCCATCACTGCCCTGGTCCATGCACCGGCTGTGCAAGCGCACTTCATTTATTTCATTTATTCATCAGCGGCAGGTTGGGTATGTACAGCCGGTGCATGGACCAGGGTCACGATAGCAGTGGCACATTCAAGAAGGAGAGTGGCTCCAGTAATTTTCAAGTGCTTGCCTTCCCTGGCAGCCAGCCACAGGAGAAAGGTAAGGAAACACCGCATGGTGGAGGGAGACCGGACGGCATCTCTGAGTCAAGGCTAGTGTCAAGGAATGGTGCATTCCTCGACCCGGTTGAGGCAGGCGGCGAGCAGGCGGTGGCTCTGGGGCCTTGGAGAATGGCGCATCCCTGGGCCCAAGCCCCTGACCCAAGGCGAAGGGTGAGCTGGCAGCGAGCGGGCAGCAGCTCCAGGGCAAGGCTGGAGTTAGGGAATGGTGCATTCCCCGACCCGGTCAAAGTGGGCAACAGCTCCAGGGTCCCAGGAAATGACAAATCCCTGGTCCCTGGCCCCTGACCCAAAGCAAAGGGAGAGCGGGTGGCGAGCGGGCGGTGGCTCCGGGGCAAAGCCACGTTCAAGAAGGGGAGCGGTTCCGGTAACTTTCGTTTGCAAGAAGCCTGCAGCCGCTGCATCTGCATCACAAGAAGCGCTGCCTGGCGCACCGAAAAAAGAGAGGCTGCAGCTGCAGGCATCTTGCAAAAAAAGAAAAGGCAGAATAGAAATTAAAAAAGTTTTCCTACCGGGTTCTGTGGGCGTGGCTTGGTGGTGGTGGGTCTTGTGACTGAGTGGGTTGGTTGTGAGTGACATCTAGTTGGCCATGCCCACTCAGTCACAGGACACCCCCCCCACCAAGCCACACCCACAGAACTGGTAGGGAAAATTTTTAGATTTCACCCCTGATCTGTCCCTAGTAGTATTTGATATAGTTCTTTTGGTTCTTTATGAAAGTTATACATTCTTGCATCTTTCTCATGTCTTGATTGTATTTGCATATATGACCACCATGCTAAATCAATCCCTTGATTAGTCAGTTCTTGTTTAGATTTGAGTTCCCCTTTGCCATTCAAAATGTCCTTATATCTTACAATTTTTTCCACATCAATCAGATTAGGGTGTATCAGTGCCTCCATTTATTTCTCAAATTTACCCATTCTTTCACCCAGGCAAGTGCAGTGGCCTGGTAATATAGCAATAGCACTTAGACTTATATACTGTTTCACAGTGCTTTACAGCCCTCTCTAAGCGGTTTACAGAGTCAGCCTATTGCCCCCAACAATCTGGGTCCTCATTTTACCGTCCTCGGAAGGATGGAAGGCTGAGTCAACCTTGAGCCTGGTGAGATTCAATCTGTCAAACTGCTGGCAGCCAGTGATCAGCAAAAGTAGCCTGCAGTACTGCAGTCTAACCACTGCGCCACCGCGGCTCAATATAGCTCCCAATCTGGCAACCCAAAGCCGCCTTTATGTAGCAATTTCAATTTTATTCTTGCTTTTTTCCCTTGTCAGATATATTTTAATATCATTTTGAAAGAATTTTTTTTCTAGTTTTATTGGAATTGTTTGAAATAAGAATAATAGCCTCAGCAAGATATTCATTTTTATTGTAGCTATTCTTCCTATCATCGATAGCTGCAGATTTTTCCATTTCTCCAAGTCTAATTTAATTTGTTGTAACAATTTCATATAGTTATATTCTTTAATAGTTGCACATCTTGCTGTTAACTGAATTCCTAAATATTTAAATTTCTTCACTATCTGAATATCTGTCTTCTCCACCAGCTCTTTTTTTTTCTCTGTAACATTTTTGACTAATATTTTAGTTTTCTCTTTATTCATTTTCAGTCATGCCATTTCACCATATTCTACTATCATTTTTATTAGCTTGGGTCCAGTTTTCTGTGGTTCTTCTAAAATAAACACCAGGTCATTTGCAAATGCCTGTAATTTGTATTTTTCTTTTTTTATTTTCATTCCTTTTATTTCTGGGTCATTTCTAATGCTTCTATTTAATACTTCCAGTGTTAATATAAATAGTAAAGGGGGCAGACGGCATCCTTGCCTCATTCCTTTCCTTATGTTAAAGTTCTCTGTCATGTTCCCATTGACCATCACTATTCCTATTATGGCTTAATGGCTTTGTCCTGGTTTGGCTCTTGGGTGACGATATTTGCTTATGAATAGAGCAGTTTTTAATAAGCTCTTTATCTCTTAAGTGCTGACATCTACTGAGGGCTATTAAGAAAAGGTGGGGTTTGCTTTCTGCCTCTAAAAAAACATGTTTCTCCATTACTCATCCAGGGAAATATAATATTCTGCCTTTTTAATATTTCTCAAAATATTTCATTCTTCTAGAAGAGGAGTTGATGCTAACTTTCTACAATAGAATAATAGGATTGGGAGGGACCTTGGAGATCTTCTAGTCAAGCAGGAGACCCTCTATATTCTGAACAAATGGTTGTCCAGTCTCTTCTTGGAAACTTCCAGTGATGGAGTTCCCAGTTCCTTTTTAATTTACCATGTTTCTTATATTGTTCATTTTACTGATGGGTTATTTAAGTAACAACAACAACACTATTTGTGCACTATTGAAATGCTGCACCAATCTTCTTGTCTTTTACCCAGCTTTCTTTTAACCTAGATGAAAAGTATTAAAAAGGCTTATTACATGCCTGCCTGCAAAATATGTTGCAGTACTTGTTCATTTTACACTATTTGGGAGCTGGGGTGAAATCTTTCTGCCTCAAATGACAAATGGAATAATATACTATGGAACCTGTTAAACAACCCAATAATGTAGGTAGTTCAGGGAACAGAAAATAGTATGGTAATATAAAAAACAAATCTATGAGACTTTACACAGGTGATGTCAGGCTAATGTTATGGTACTGTGCACCTAGACCCAGCAAACAGTATTGAATTAAACATAAGAAAATGCAAGAAATGATTGGTTGTTGTATTGCATATAAAAGTTATAATTTGTATATTTAAATATGATTTGACTTTATATAGAGAGAAGGAAATTGGTGCTCACATTTAGCATCATTTCTATTTTCCTAGGCTTTTAATGAGTTTGAATTGTATTTTAATTCATATTGTTTTAGACTTTGAATGACAATCTCACTGTTGCCTACTTGGCATTTTTTCTTTATATTGTTTTTATTCAAATAGTACTTTTTAATATGCTTTTCTGTGCATAGTGCTAGACAGGGTATCTTTGACTGGAGACTTAACAAGCTGAATTTGAGAGTTTAATACGCTAACCATATGCTTTATTGATAAATAACATTTTGCCATTTGTCATTCTGTTCATTGAACATTAGGATGTGAAAGTAGCTAAAGGTTATATAAATACGCTATGTAAACAGAAATAAGGTGATATAGACCAAAAGGACTATAAAATCTAAAGCAAATAAAATGCAGATATTGGGTACAGGCTGTTTTCTCTCTCTCTCTCTCTCTCTCTCTCTCTCTCTCTCTCTCTTTCTCTCTCTCTCTCTCACACACACACACACCACCTGCCTATTTTTGCTCTCACTTCACACACCAGACTTTTAGCATACTATCATGTTAATTTCCTGAGTTTCTCTTTAATCAAAGAAGAAGACAAATAGTAAGAGCAGAGATGAGAGGGAATAAACTTTCCACCTGCCTACCATATACTTATATATTATCTGCTTCCAGAATAATCAGGCCAGTATGTGTTCTAAAGCCAGTATTGTTTCCTATCAATTGCATGAATTAATTTCTTACTTATTTTATTACAGAACTTCCCAAACTCCCTTTTTTAATTATAAAAACGTTCATAATTTTTTCTGTTTTATCCAAGTGGGCTGTAGCACTAGGACTGGCTCAAAGAAATTCAACAAACTTTGCAGTAGAATGAGAATGTGAACACACATGTGCTTGTCCTCCAATTACAGCATAATAGGGCTATTTGAACTGCTAAATTATATTACTCTCTTTTACAGGTTCTACTCTCATGGCAGAACACCTGACGCCATCAGCACCAAGCTCACCCACCTCATCTCCCAATTCATCTTCCATTCTTTGCAATGAGGTTTCTGATCCTGTCCTATGTATATCTGGTTCTGGCCCACTTGGCAGCTCAATCAGTGGTGAGTATTTCTCCCACAGCACCAAGTTGCATCCCTTCCAGTTCTGAATATTTCATTATCTTGTAAGACTGGAAATCCATAGTCTTTTTTTCTTTTGATCACTCACAACATACAAGGAGAAGGAGTTAGATTCTCCCCCACCAAAAAGAACAAAGAATTCAACATTTAAATGCATCATATTTTAACAAAAGGAAAAATTCAAAATGTATGTAATATGGAATTAGCAAGGAGCACCATCTGTGGAGGCACAGGTACAGTTCAAATGACTTTTGGTGCCATTTAAACATTTTGCATAACAACTTCCTTAATCCTATGCCTCTGACTACATTAAATGGGGTTGCTAAAGCCAAATCTGAAACAGGATGACACCAGGTTAGCTTAATCCTGTGAAAGATTGTCCATAAACAGAATGCTTTTGGAAAAAGTGTAGTTCCACTAAATAGGGTGGGAATTATGGACATAATCTCTATATTTTAACCTTTGGCGTAGAAATTCTAGACTAGGGCAACTGTAAAGCTGATTAGGGTTTAAAATTTAAAAAAGTAAAAATGTCTTTTATTTTGCAGGTACGGCTCCAAACTCTCCAATCAGTATGCCAGAATCCCCTCTTTCCTCTTCCATCTCAGGATCTTGGAATGATGAGTGTACTATTTGCTATGAGAATATGGTGGACACTGTGATTTACTCCTGTGGACATATGTGTCTGTGTTATACATGTGGGCTCAAACTCAAGAAGATGGCTAATGCCTGTTGTCCTATCTGTAGACGTGCCATCAAGGACATAATCAAAACCTATCGCAGCACTTAAAGTTGCATGGCAGAAGGGTAGGAGCTAGCAAGAGGATCTTCATAAACTTAACCAAGACAAGGAAGGTGGGAGGAAGTGGTTCCCTTCTTTAAATATGTAGCTAATTTTGAATGTGGTTAACTGTGGGTACAGCCTCCCACCTGAAATTAGAGGGCTAAAAATATCTTCTTTTCTTGGCATCTAACAAAGTGCTCCTGTGAACATTTAATATGTGTAGCCAGCAAGAAAGGCTGGATTTCATGTCTACCTTTCCTTGGCTCTCCATTGCATTTTCACTGTCCTTTCTTCCTAGTTGGATGTTACAAGGATCAAAGGAGAAAATAATATGAAATAAGCAGATTTTCATGTTAGATTAAGTGAACTAAATGAATACTTGGAATGAGTACAATAAGGACAAATCATTTCAGTGCTAGAACTACGTTGATGGGCAAGAGAGCCTCACATAGGATTTCCCTCCCAGTTTTCCTAATCATATCAGTGGCTGCCATATTCTACAAATAATTATAATGCAGCGCATGCTGCTACTAAGGAAGATTATGCTTGGATTGGTTTTTCTATGCTGTGCTGTGCACAGAGGGCCAACAGCTAATCGTTGACCTTGATTCTACTTTCTATAGCTCTCCTCTTCTACTTTTTCAAGGCAGAAGCTGTTCATATCCCAGAAGCATGATATCACTTCCTTCTTTAATCACCTTCCTCTTTTACTTTTATTTCCAAAGTTCATTACACTAGGAAATGGTGCTTTGGGAAAATGATTTCACCTGATGTCAAAGCCATAAGGATGAAAGTTGGCAAAGTTTTATTTTTAATTTGTCGTCAGGACATTCATTATCTATCCCAGGTTTGAAAGGAAAGAAAATGATCAGTTGTATAATCTTTTGCCAAAATGAATGTGTGTTACAGAGCTGGATTTATATTGTTGGAAGGAAAAGAAATCAGGACCAAAATGGATTTTAGTTTTTATTTGCTTCTTTGATTTAATGAAGGATTCATATGAGAAGAACATGTGAAAAATATGCTAATTTCACTTACTCATAGAACCATATGGATCCTTGGCATAATTGAATTCTTAAAATATTTTTGTCTCCATTCACAAGTAATGTCATATTTTATCTTTCATTTTCAATAGTCCATTGTTTTTTTATTTTTAGCTGTTCCACTTAATAAATCTTAAATCAGAAATTGCATTTCACAATTAATATATTCCAAGTGAGCTAACTATCCTGAGATGGTTGATTGAAAAATGACAACAATCTCATACCCTAGGTCACAATTTCAGTTCCCCAATATGGACAATACAGGTTTAGAGGGTGAATTAAGATAGAAATCTAAGAAAAATAATAATTGACATGCCATTTTTCATCCAGTCCAAATAATAATGTTTGTGCTGAACACTTCTAGTTCATATTTTACAGTGCAGAGATTTTGCTGTACTGTATGATTGACATATTTTATAATTAAGGCGATGCTTCATAGAACCCCCCCTCCATCTTATATGACAAATTGGACCTCAGGATTCAAGAAGCCACATACTTTACACATTTGATATCTCAGTAAGTAGAGAAACTGCCATTTGGTTTTTTCGTCTACTATGATTGTGGAGGACTACCAAAATACTCAATTAATTTTGTCTATCTTTCGGCTTCAAATTACAATAGCCATGTGGTGTTTAACAGAAATGATCAACTCATACTATGCTAGTCCTATACCCCCACTGTATGAAATTAATCCAAGTGCTGGACAGTAGTTACAAAAATCACCTTGAATTGTTGCAAGCACACAATCACTTAATATTGTAGTCTGGGAACCAGCAAGGATCTTGTCAGTATCAATACTGATCAGAGCTAGACAATTGGTGCCCTACAGATGTTTTAGATTTTGATTTTCATCCATTCTATCAAGAATGGCCCAAAACAAGGAACTGTAGCAACTTCAGGCCCAAATAACTGGAGGACATAAGCTTGCATCTTTGGCCAGATCCTTATAAAGGGAACTAATGTGCAACCAGTTAGGTTTCATGCTATAGTTCAAGTCCTATGTAGATGGAAAACTGGTTCAATGGGGTGAGAAATATGTGTCACCCCAGACATTACCGAACCACGATTAGTAGCAACCTTTGGCCAGCATGACTTATGGTATTGGGTGATGGATGTTCAGTAGCATTTTCAGGGTTCTAGATTCTTCTCTCCTATGTTGCCATCCAAGAAACTTGTTGCTAGACTAGTTACAATTCTAAAATGGAATAATTAATTGTAAAGTGTTTGCTTGTTCCAGGAAATTCTGAAAGGATTGTGTGCTAGGTTTTTTTTTTTAGTAATCTCAGAAAGCACTGGGTTATTTAATGTAAAGTGGACATTAAATTTATGCCACTCAGCTCAGGAACTCCACCTTGCTGTGATATTGCAAAGTCATTTGAATCAGGAATTTTTGTTCCAGTGATCTGAGTAATACAGCTGATAATCCATGCCCTATTGCTTTCAATGAAAAGATCTAAATAAAGAATTATAAGTTTAGATTGCAATCTTAATCCACTTGAATTTGGCAGCGTTTCTGCTGAACTCAGTGGGACTTAGTTCTAAATTAGTACTGTTAGGAATAGATTATATGTTTCCTGCAAAATTCATAAAGAAGCCAACATCTTATGTATATTTGTGGAATCCTACAAGTACAAAATAATGTTTGAGTTGACAATTAGGTAATAACAATTTTTTAAAAAGATAGTATCAATTTTCTGGGCAAGAGTTAATGATTGCATAAGATTTCATGCAGAGCAAATTTGATCTAATGAAGTTTCTCTAAAGGAACATGCCACATTACCACTCAATAATATTTTCAGTTATATTAATGGAGAAAGCAAATCTTCAGACTTTGGTCTGAAAAAGGCAGCAAAAAGGATTTCCTGGGCATCAATATTTATAGATTTCTTGGTTATAATTGGGGATTTCAGAGGTCTGGCAACAAACCAGCAATGGCCAATCCAGGCAACAGTTGGAGATTATACATAATGTCATTTCATAGGTAAAACTATTTTTGGCCGCAAAGATGTTTAGGCTAGCATGTTTAATAACTTGTAACATTATTTATTTTTTCTCCTTTTTACGGAATGCTGTTTTGATAGGATATGATGTTTGGGAAAATTTAACCATAGGCTTTGTACTTAGCAATTACTTAATATATTATGTATAGAGTAGTTTGTACTGTGCATGGGAAAATATTGGCTTCATTAAAAAAATGCTAGGAATTTACTAATTAGGACTGTACAGCATTTTGGATTCAAAGGGGGAATGGGTACTTTGAAGCACATTTAGGAAGTCAAATATCATATGTGATCAAATCCTTAAAATAGCTGCCTCTTTAAGTAGAGCATGATCCCAGAAAAAGACATACCTATTTTAATGATACTACTTTAAGGAGCGTTCTGCAATTGGTATGTGAGTGTTCCATGTGCCCAAACACCTTTTGAATCCAACGTGCTGCAAGTCTCGACTTTTACACACTCCCTATATTTTACATACAGTTTTGGCTATTAAACAATGTTGTAGACAAAAGGTAGGGAAAATGTGCAAGAAAGGTATTATGGTCCGCTGGATTTCACATTTGCAGTCCAATTTATTTCATCCTCCATTTGTTTGAATTACATTGATTTCTTTCTCCACTGAGTCTATTGAAGATTGAAGTAGTCTTCTGATTCTTATAATGGTCATTGATATTATTTTATGAATATATGAGAGAGACCTCCCAGAATTAGGTCAAAATAATGGTCTTCACTTTTCATACTACAGTTTTTAAAAAATGCACAAGCACAGCCTGAATGATATCAAAATTAAAAATGCATCTTTGCACACTAACAATTTCTCTGCACTCTTTCTCATCGTGTCTTTTGATATTTCTATAAATTATGCAATAAGTTGTTCCTCAAATCCTTTTCTAAGTGCAAAAGTAATGCTTTAAAAAACTAAGCAGTTAAAAAAAGTCTAATAAAGTTTTTTGTTGGTGCATTCTCATTCATTCAAGTTCCTATTTCTTCATATCGTGGACATGAATGAATGGGGCATGTAGGTGAGGTGGTTTTTTTTACACCTCTGAACTCCAAACAGCTAAAGATATTTTTTTTCTATAGTACAGAGTAACTTTAACCCTTAATTCAAAATTGTGCATGTGTAAGTCAAAGTCTCTTTTGAGTTTATGTTGTCCCCTGGTGTCTTCCTGGATCATGCATACCGATTATTTTGATTACAGAGTGGAAGTGGTTTTCCACTGCTGTCTTTCAAGATTTTTTTAGAATAGTCTAGTCTAGCCATAATGCTATCTATTAACTTAGTATGCAAGTTTCTGAGCCCAGAAAAGATGCTGCCATCAGTAAGAATGACATAATTTTCAAATTAGTAATTAGTTAACAGTAACTAAAAATCTGAAATAATGAATCATGAAAAGTTTTTGCCTTATAATAAAATGTGTTAGTCTTAAAAGTTGTATCAAACTTTTTATTGGTTTTTGCCCACTAGCGCTTGTCTCTTTTAAAGAAAGTGGGATGTTAGTAACATAAGGCAATCCAAAATTGTTTGACACCAAGGGAAAGAAACCTTGGTTTAATTAATTTTGTTCTCTCCCTGTAAACAGTTGAAATACCAATTGTTAACAACTTGTTATTCACTGACCCCTAAATTTCTTCAATATTTTATAAAAATGTCTTCTTGACCACTTGTCTAATAGTGTGGTTCAATTCAATTCCTTCTGTTTAGCTTATTGTACTAATTATATCACACTAAAGCAAACATTGTAAATACCTATGTTGAAGAAAACTTGCCAGCTTGTAAGCCTGCAACCATAATAATTAAGAGATAAGGAAAGATTGTTTTGACTTGAAACTATGGCCTGTTTTTCCCCTTTAAAAATAACATTAATCCCCCAATTATCAATATCCCCTGTAAATATTTTAACATATTTTTAAAAGACTTTTAAAAAAAGAATCCAAAGGTACAAAAGGTAGGAAGCTTATACTAGACACTAATCCTAGCCAAGTTGCTTTGAGGATCTGAACATGCTCTGTTTTGTGGCCTTCTAGAGCAAAACTAACATATCCCACTGATATTGCATTCCTCTATTATATAATTTAAGATCAGTTCGGCTTTTTGCCAGAGTCATGTGGCAGTTTGTTCCAAGAAAGCATGGGAGGGAATAATCACCAGAAATTCCAACCGCAAATGCTCACAGAACAGAATCACAGGAAAATAGTAGGTCCCTCTGCTTTTCTCACATGCGCACATATAGATCAGAACCCAGTTCCTAAGAACCTTGTCTATTAAGCTGCTTTTTCTCCACCTCCCCTCCATCAGCAGCATCGTTTTTGCACATGGAAACCAAAAATATATTCGCATGGAAAAAAAAACTAGCTCAGGATGGTACTTGGGAGTGAAGAGAAAGAAGTATTAGAAAATAGGGACTCTTCTCTTAACCATTATTATAAAGGTAGAACTTTATATACTGATGACCAAAGGTGGACAGCTAAGAGGAGCCAAAAAGGAAGATGAAGCAAAGGCTTTTTGTGCGGGAGAGGAGCATTACACATGAACAGCAGTAAACTCAGTTTGATTTCTTTGTCTCTGTGTCCCTGTGTAAAATCTGAAATAATTCCTGTGATTTAATGTCATTGACAAGAACATTTCAACTTTTAAATGCTTTATTTATTCGTATGTTTGTGTTTTCAAGACAGATATAAAAATCTGTTCTATTCAGTGTGACAATTGCATAGTTGTAAATAAAGTTGATTTAGGTAATCTGTGGAATTGCAGATGTGGGCTGCTTATGACGTACAAGGTAAGTGTCATGGGAAGAGCCTGTGAGTACAGAGAGCTCCATGTAATCAGTTACCTGGTCATAGGTGCAGGTATTTGCGTGCACAGGTGTCACATCACAAAATTTCAAGGAGCTGAAAATTGTCCCTACTGTCTAGTCACGTCTTGATTCCATACACCTGTATTTGCATTTTTTTCCTGAAAGGCCCACGAAGTATGGAACTAAAGTCTATGGTTGCTGTGACTATTGGGCACACACTTTCAGAAAAATAAGAAGCCACAGAGTAAATCGTGAGGTACTGGTAGGGTCTATGGTGCTTGGAGCCCTTGAATTGTCTTTCATTGAGTAAGGATTTTCAGGTGAAAGTACAATATAGAGGCAATTTTTAAATGGGAGTTTATTTTCAATTAATTTATTTCCGAGGCATAAAGAGTCTTATTTTTGTTTTGTAAAAATGACATTTTTGGAGGTTTTCTTTTTTAACAAGATAATGCTTCTAGTAGAATAACATATATGTGGCGGCATTACTTTCTACATATCTAAATTTTATAGACTAAGACATTTATCATCACTTTGACAAATCAAGAGCAGATATTTGAACTGCATGGTTTGGTGTTCTGTAGAAATTAATATATTGATAAATAATATCTATACATGAGGAAGTCTGTGTAAAGGTGTCTAGGGTAAAGTTTCATTTTTGTTTTTTTAATAAATGTATTTCCTCTCCGAACTAATTCTAGCTAAGTTGTTTTGAGGATCTGAACATCCTCTGGTTTGTGGCCTTCTGAAGCAAAACTAAGATATCCCACTGATATTGCCTTTCTCTACTATATAACTTAAGGCAGCATATTTTGAGCACCTTAGATGGTTTTCCAGCCATGCATGAACAAGATTAGCATTCCTTACCTTTTAACAAAGTTTCTGCAATGTGCAGTTAGACATCATGCTCTTAAAGATTTCTCAGTATTGCTCTTTTCTTATACCTCATGTCCAAGAGCCTATTGACTAATCTTATTGTGCACTTTACTTAAGCTTACAATCAGTTTGTGAGTTGTTGACACTCTCCCCATGCTTGTCATCTGGTTTCTTTAAAATTCCTGCCACATATTTTCACTTCATGCATAAAACCTACAGAACAGGCAAGAAATAACAATGCAAACATTAATGTTGAATCACTACCATCTAGTGGTTATTTTAATGATTGGCACATGACATTCAGAATTACTGATAAAAATGTTTGAAAATGAAGGGACAAACTATCTATTACATATAGAATATGTGGCACATATCTTGATTTTTTTCTCAAAGAAAAACATATGGAAGGAAATGATTAACTGTTGGTTAGTTTCTCTTAAAGGGATTACCATTAAAAACTGATATTATACCTTCTCTTTCCATAATATGCTAGTTTAGTTTAAACATATGCTAAGTATTACAATTTTTGGAATAGCAGCTTGGAGATTTTAAAAACAATTATTACATTTTATACCACAAATCATCAGAACTGCACGGCAGATTGCAATTAAACCAATTTAACCTAATTGAAAAAATAGCTTTTGGGTGAAATCTGTTGCATGACATTCAGTATGTAGTTTAGTCCTAAATAATTGGGAATTACATTTGTGCTCTTATGTATTAACTATCACCTACTGAGCAAAGAATATCTTTGTTGCTGCATATTTGTAACACATAGATAGACTAGGTGAGAACTACAGAACATTTCCATGAATAAAACCTTTAAATAAGTAGTTGATGTGTTGGTCTCCAAGATGCTACAACACTCTGGATTGAATCAGGCATATAAATTAGTCATGTATACACTCATTCCGAGTTATTTTCACTGGATTTATGTAAGCATGACTAAACCTGGATGTACTATTTTATTTATTTGTTAAATTGTTTTTGTTTAGATAAAGATGTACTTTTGTGGACTAAGGTTGTGGTATGCATCATCTGAATTGAAGATTGCATCAAAAAAACCCCTATGCCATAATAAATCTACTATATGAATATTTAAGATGCCAGGAGAAAGCTTGTTTCTCCCCATATGTAATCAGAAGTGAACTGGCTTTTCTCAGACTTCACCAATGACTGACAATGTGAAAACTTTATTTTAAAATATGTTTTGGACTGTTGACAATGTATATGCAGAGAATAGATCTGTATTCATTGGTATATATAAAACAACAAAGCTTTTTGGTGGAATCTTAGATAATCCTTTCTATTGAAAATATTTTGCTCTCCATATGTCAGTATATAAATAACTGGCAGCACCATACAGTCCATGCTTCAAAAATTATTTGACATAAGTCCTTTGGAAATGTAAGCATATTCATTTTTTGAATTCTATGCTATTCATTAAAGCAGTCTTATTTTTTATAAAAATGTCAAGAATGTATTCATTAAAATCAATACAACTTTTACAGAGGTACTACTGATTTATATCTTTTAAACTGAAAAAAAATATAGGGCTGCTTTAATCAATTCTCAGAATTTTGAAATGTGTACAGCCATTGAGCCATATTATACACAAAACGTTCTTGTGTAATGAGTGAACACCAAGTCTTATATTTTATAAATATAAGATTCTAATCTTATATAATATTCTATAGTACCAAGTTTATTCAAATAGATCAAGAATTAACTTGAGTCTGTGGATATTCTAATGTTTCTAGTCCACCTCAACAGTATCCTGGGAGAGGCAGATGTAGCTAGAGATTAGCCAAATTCCATGAAATGTAGGGAATAGATATTTCACCCAGAGTGCCACAATCCTGTATGAAATTTCATGGGATTCAATATAATTACTTGAATTCTCCAATCCTGAAATAGATCCCAAAACTTTGGAATGTACTCTCAGATACACCACACCTTGCAGTTACAGGCTGTCATAATCTTATTTCTGGCCTTTGGTGAAGGGCAAATTAATCCTTCAGAAATGTACAAATTACACCTGCAAAGAAAAATAAATTTGCCCAAATCTTCACATGTGCTAGAAAAAATACGTTTATCAGAGTTAGAGGAATCGTTAAAAGCGAAAAGGTAGCTTCACATATTCCTACCATTGTCTCATGTAAGATGCCACTAAGAAAATAAATAATTCTGAATTACTTTTAAAAATATTGGTTTTGAATATTTCTAAAGATCCTTTCCATGCACACTGCCCTCTTCAAGAAGATTCCCCATGACATGATAACCCCATCTGAAAGTTCTACCTGCTATGAATGACTTATGTAATATAAGGGAAGTATTTTCAAGTCAAGCTTGACTCTTGGTGGATTCATGGGCTCAACAATGTAAGATGGAAAATGACTCTTCTAAGAGGATTTTTAAAAATGTTTTATTCCCTCAAGTAACTCCCTCAAATACTCCCTGATATTTGATTATCCAATCTACGTTTTTACTAGTACTAACCTTGTTTAGCTTCCCAGCCCAAAAGTTAGCTAGATGTCACTTGAAGATTTTAAAAAAGTTTTGTAAATTACGTTGACAATTCATTAAGAAATCACTTGGATGTTAAAGTGGAAATATTAAGATGTTTTTGTAACAAGTTTATAGTTTTTTAATGCTAGAAGAAATGAGTTCGCTAATAACTGGAACATAGTTGAAGGAATAAAAACTTTAACCCTTCTGACACAGCAAACAATGTAAATAATTGTAAATAATAAAAAGAAATACAATTTGAAATCATTTGAAGGATATGCTTTATTCCTCCCTTAAAAAAAAAAAAAGAAGTATGGCCAGTTAAAACACACAGTAATGTCTAAATCGCAAATAATTTTTATGGGTTTCAAATAATCTTTTTCCAAGGGTAAAATCTTCTTTAATTAAACAGGACATTAAGTCTTTGATTTTAAAAACAAACAAATATACACACAGGTAAAACTCAACAACAAAAAACATAAATATAAAAATTAAAGTTCATATTAGCACCACCTTTGGTCCAAGCAATGAGTAAACTGGGAGATCACTGTGAGGTATAGTTAGTTATCAAGTTCTGTCTTGTGAGACATTTAATATTGTACTATGGTTTTACATTGCAAGAACCTGGGAATAAAACAAGAGAGGCTGCAGACTAGATTCTCTTGGAAGTGCCTTTAAATGATTTCCTGTATGAATGAAAAAGCTGCAGTGTAATCACTGCATATGACCTGAGAGTTGTGCCTTCGTATTCACTAGTTAAGATATAACAAGGGATTTTGGAAGCACAGCTCTTAATTTACCTATTCACCAAGTACCTCTAAGGGCTTTCCTGGATTTTTGTCCAGTTGGCACCTCACTTTTTTTTTAAACGTTGCATGTATGTAGTATTTTTATTGTACTGAAGCTTGCATAATACAGACTTTATCCAGCTCAGATACCCTGATGAGCACAAGACTATATTTCATGCTGTGCAACATTTCCACAATTACTCCACCATTCAATTCCTGCAAATTCCAATTGAGCACCCCAAAAAGATGAAACATAAACCATTAAAAAATAGAAAGTTGGGCCAAACATGTGCCCAAATGCCTACTTTTCAATGACTGAAACTGACAAATCAACTTAATTGCCAAGCAATACTAGTGCCAGGTGCCTACCAGAAAAAAAACTTTACATATTTCAATAATAATCAAGTACATAGATGCCAATGAATATTGCAGCACGAAACTGTAAAAAGATGCAACATTTTTGGTTAAAACTTCACCCCTATCCAAATTCCATTTTTGGAAATTAAAGACTGACACTGTTCTTAGAAAGGAGCATTTGACCTTTAGGTATGATTAATCTATATTCAAACAAATACAATTTAGTTTTACACCTTTAATTCCAGTTAGCAGTCTAAATATAGACATTATCCTTTGCTGCCAGTTTGTTTTATATAGGTTAGTGTAATAAATTTATGGCTGACCAATGTCTTTGTACAGAATTAATGACTAGTTTGCACTCATGTAAATTGTTCTCCCAAATGGCTCTTACCAATGTGACCAACAATTTTGCATAAAAAAGAATAATATGTAAGGATCTAATATTCTTCAACTTAACTATTTTCTTCTACTTTTGAAAACAGTGAATATCTTTGAGCTTTTTTTTCTTGTTCCCCAAAGTGCACTCCAAATAAGATTCCTTTCTTGATCCTTCCTTAATGCAAACAACTCAAAATACCTCACTATAAACCAATATCTATTCTAACTTAAAAAAATGATCTTTCTCAAGAAACTAACCAAACAACATTAAGCACATCCTCCACCATCCATCTTGACCACACAGCTCAAGGACCAGCCATACATCCTTCAACATCTCCTTGTCAACATACTCTTCTCAGACTTCTAATAATTACATTCTTTTTATTCTAGATAACAACAATCACAATAAGCCCATTAGAAAAACAGCACTGGTTTCTATTAATTCATTGGAAGTTCTGTGCTGAACCATATGACAGCAAATTCCAATGACTTACTTCATGCTAAAAAAACAGCTTCAATATTTGTTTTATATTAAAGAGAATAAAATTTGTTTTCTTCAAGCTTTTAGATCCTTACATATCTTACTACTCTCTTAATTTTAGAACTTTTTAAACAAGTAAGATGGTCACTTTTTTGCACATTTTGGTTTTATATAACCGAATATATAACTGCAGTTTTGCAAAGCAAGTTTTAAAATGCTACGAAATGTGAGGGCAACATTGGCTTTATCTTTCATTTCTGATTATTCACTTCTTTTGAACCATGCATTGTCCCTTAGTCTAAACACTAAGGTTAAATGGTCATGCCATTTTCAAATCATTTCATTTTTTTCCTCCAAATGTAAAAGACATTACTTCTTCCAATTATAGGCATTCATTAACTAACTTATCACAGACAATATAGAACTATCACATTTGACAATACAGTTAGTCCTCAACTTACAACCATTCATTTACTGACAAAAATTACAATGACACTGACAAGTGATATGATCTTTTTCTCTTATGACGGCTGCTGCAACCCTGTAGTCATGACACCTGCAGTGTGCCAGATTCATGTGATCACCTTTTGACAAGCAAAGCCAGATTTACTTAATTACCATTACTAACTTAACAACTGCAGTGTTTTACTTAACAACTGCTGCAAGAAAGGTTGTAAATTGGGTTAAAACTCACTTAACAAATGTCTCACTTAACAATGGAAATTTTGGGTGTAATTGTGGTCATAAGTTGAGGAGTACCTGAATGGGGAAAACATAACATAGCCTAACATAAAGAAGTATCACACAAATACACATAAAAGGAATTCAATCAAACACTTGGATGGGGGAGAGAATGATGTATATATGCATATTAACTCATTTTTGAAACAATTTTTTTATTTAATCCAATTAGCCTTTCCTCAGTCACAATCCAGTTATTTCTGACCATTAAAGAATACTACATCTATCCTCCAACTTGGTGTCATAATAAACAGGTGTCTCAACACAGGGCAGTAGTAGCTGTTGTGTTGGATGTGGAACATGTACAAAAACACCCTCAACAGTGTGAAACTTTCTGTTCATTTTTTTCCTGAAAAAGTGCACTCTACAAACAATTTACACACTTCACGGGGCCAGCCCATCTGGAAAATTTAAAGGCACAGATGTATTTGCTTCTGTATCCGCTAGGCCTAAATGATTTTATCACCCTGAGAACAGGGCTTTCTTTGAGTAAAATCAGATTGGGCTATTCTGTCCCCAAAGCAAGGATCTGAATTCAGTGAAACTGTTGTACTTTACTTAACACAATTTATACAAGCCCCTCGCAAAAACTGAGGGTTCTCCAATTTGGTGTTCTAAAAACCAAGTGGAGGCTGAGGAATATCAATTAAAAGAACTGGACTAATTCATGGACTTCCAAGGATGCTTGAAAAAGGTCACTTGATTCCTAAGTCCTTGATTTAGAATTTACAATTAACTAGATGAACTGAGACACCAGCAGTAATCGAACAAGTCTAGAAGGTAATTTTGGAACCTGATAAGCTTTTCATGTACTTCCCATTAATCTCTACATGTTTACTAAAAACTTAAAACTACTTCCCCACAATCCTCCTGAAAAAATATTTACAAAGAAACTTATGCTTCACCAATTTGTACCTGTTAAGACCTAAGATTATGTAAAGGACCCCTGATTTAGCCATAAAATATATGGCTGGCTTTTCTGAGATGTGATTTTGACTATTTAGCAGCAATCTATGATTGATATTAAAGGTATTGTTAAAGTCACAAATTTTCTTTGCATGTGCAGAGTCTGAATTTGATCAGACTAAAAAATATGTTAACTAGAATATTCTAAAAGCAAACCTAACTGGAGTCCGTTGCACTCAAGTAATCAATGAAAATATAAAAACAAGAAGCGATGTTCCTTTTAGCAAGAAACTGATAGCATGAAAAAAAGCATCCTTGCTATCACTTCCTTAATTTACAAATGTGATTCTAGAGAGGTTATTTTGTTAAGTTATGTATTCCTGTGTTAAAATAAGATATCCAGTAGATACAAAGTGGCTAAGTTGTAAGCTATTTTCTCCTTATTCATATTCCATTTAAAAAGCTTGTGTTGTTTATAGAAATGTATTTAAGAAAAACACATTTTATTAAAAAATTCAATAAAATTATTTATATATTAAAAAATGACTTCTAAATGGGAAAAGGACATTCTTTGGGGAAAAATTCAGTGATAGTGAAATTCAGACCTTAGTTTGATTTTCTAATTTCACATAGTATAGATATGTCCCAGTTTCTGAAAACTGTTGCTTCTGGAAAGGTTGACTTATAATTCAGGCTCTTTATGCATATTTGACATTTCACTCAGTTCAATGAGATGAATTAGATAAATGGCTAAGATAATTTTCATCAAGTGTTAATGTCAAGCATCTGAACATAGGCATTTTATTTTCAATAAAGCCAGAAATACTTTCATCCAGCCACTTTATTTATATGCTACCTTAGTGATGATGGGTTAATAAAGTTCTGAATCTTTTCTTCTTTTAAGAAAGGAGAGATCAAACTGCAACTTCATAGAAGTTTCTGTTTTTAAACAGTCTAATTCTGGAATAGACTATTAAAATACCATGCAATACAGACATACTCTATTTCAAGCATTTACTTCTTGTATTTCATGCAGACTTAAACAGCAAGTGCCCTTTGTCAACATGCCTTCAGTGTGGCAACTTCTGTCCAGGCTCCAGGATCTATTTCATGCTTCTATAGCATGATAAACAGCACCTATATATCAATTCAGGAGTAAATTCCTCTGACATCAATGTAAATCAGATAAGAATTTGGAACTTCTGCTTAAGTTAAAGAGTGCAGACGGCTACAAAAAAAGATGGAAGAATACTGAACATTGCAAAGAAAAGGGACAGCTGAACAGCCAGGAACCAACAAGATGTCATACTTCTATTTGAATGTGATAAACTTTGATAAAATATCAAAGTTACACAGCCATTTTTTCCAAACGTTTTCTTCATCCACTTCCTGTGTACTTCTGCTCTTGTTCAACTTTCCTCAATTCTCATGTTTTTTTTACTTAAGAGTGCATAATAAAAAATGACAGATGTTTAAAATCACACTGTACATCCACTTCAAGTCCTGGATGAGGGACCTGTTTTTGCCCTTTCAATATTGCACTGATCCTCTATTTGGATACTACACTGAGAATGCAAATATTGGATAAAATGTAACAATAATTAAAAAATATATAATGAACAAATTACTAAAGATGATCTAAACTTAAATATTACTATTGCTATAGTAATGCTAGTAAATACTAATAATAATGAAATAATTATTTATCAGTTTCCCTTCCATTTTTCATAAATGACAAAAAGCAGTAACAATTTTTTTTATAAATGGAGAGAAGCAATAAGTATAATTTTAAATTAAAATAAGCTATTCTAATATTCAAAAGTAGTTCTAAAAAGCACAATTCTATAATGCCATCGTCAAAATGTTCAGTGTTGCTTTTGGAATCAGTTCACTGGAACAAATGTAGTTGCTACCACAGGATAAATGTATGTGCAGTTGTTCATTTGTTTCAGCTTCTATCAATGGGACACAAATCTGTAAAAAATTAAAGAGCCTATTTTGTCAGAAAGGTAGATTTCATTAGAGCACTATTGTCCAAATGTGGCAACTTTAAGAAGTGTGAATTTCTACTCCCAGAACTCCCCAGCCTAGGGAATACGGGGAGTTGAAATCCACACAATTTTCTAAAACACTGCTCTAGAAAGTCAAATAATTGTAAAACTAATTCCATGAACCCTAGGAATACTTAGACTGGTTTTTCTCAATCTATACTTCTGTTCCCCTGCTGAATGAATGGATTCAGTAAAATAGAACGGTTTCATATTTGTAAAAAAAACCCTGTGGTAAGCCAAGCTTACTACCGCATCTTGTGAGGGAACTCATTACAATCCTAATTTATATTATTTGGGGTATTAAAATATATGTACTTAAAAAAGAATAAGCTTTAAACTTATTCCTTAAACTTAACTCACCAAAATGTAGAAATTAAGAAAAAAAGCAAGAGTATTTTTTTCAGGCATTATATAAATCCGCAATAACGAATTCAGAAGTGCTCATTATTATTAAAGTTGCAGTATACAGCAGAAAAAAAGTTTTCATTGTTTGGGTTTTGTCAAAATATCAACCTGCATTTTGAGTTGTTTTTGTTGAAAACCAAGGCAATTTAAAGAACCAGGAAATGACCAGAAGCCACTCTTGTCTAAGAGTGCAATCTTTGGTTTAATATTCAATTAGTCCCCAGAATATTTAAAAATTGAGATCTAGATTATTTTGAAAGTACTATATAGTTTTTTAAAAAAAAAATCAGCTTTATGATCAAAATAATTTTAGAAATAGCAGATAATATTTTGATAGGGAAAGCTACAGCCCTTGTGAGTGGGATTTCAATGTATTTCTTCGAGCATTGGCCTGGCACTGAAATTTGAATTCTCCAATCCCTAAACACATTCCTAATATTTACAAGGGCAAGTTATAGATTACATGCGGGAAACAGTGAAACTGACTAAATTAAGAAGGTGCTTGGTAGTGCCCTTTATCTTTCTCCCTGTATTTGAACCTAGATATTACTTCCATGTACCATAAAACCAACTACAACGTCCCCTGCATAAAGCTTCTAGAGATGTGACACATACTTACATAAAGTTTTACAATTAAAAAATGATAAACTAGTTTAGCTCAGAAAACTATCCAACTATATTTATGTAATTTTTTATATCATTGGGGCAGTTTTATAGGACAAATCAAGGCTCACTTTTATAATGCATAAAATGCAAATGGATTTATTGACTGATAACTGTTCTAATTATAAAGAGGCACTTTAAGAAACCTGCCCTTACATGTGCCAATTCAATATTACTGTTGCATAAAAAATGCAGCTATGAAAGAGAACAATATGGAAAGCTATTCCTCTTACTGAAAGTATGGGCAAATCATATTTATGTTAAAACTTTTTTTCTTAAGAATTTGCAGAAGCATTCGAGACTCAAAATGAACTCAGTGACTTTCTTGCCCCAAAAAACTGCAGATGCAGCAAAAGGACTGGCTGAAGGCTGGGTAGCACTAAAGAGAGAGATATACCACTGATCCCAAATGTGGCTGGAAATGGTTGCTCTTTTTAGGGAATCTGTAAAAGATAATTTTCAAAATCTGTCGATCCTTTTTGGTTCAATTCTGTACACATAATTCCCCAGTGCTGAGATTATCAAGAATACTACATACCAATTTGCTTCTGTACAACAAGAAATATTGATCCCTTTTTGGGCAAAAATTTGATTCTGGCTACCTGAATCTCCTGTATTTGAAGAGTCTTGATGGCTCAGTGCAGGATTTTTGGGAGATGTACTTTTAGCTTTCCCAAGAGATGGCATCTTTGGAACAAAACTGTATAGTACAAATTTTAAATAATCATAAATTATTTTAATAAATAGATGTTCTTAAAATGACAATTTATACTGCATCTTTAAATAATGCACTTGATTTTCCTGCATTTTGGTTTAAAATGGTTAAAGTGCATTAATTCAAAAATAATGAACCACTTCGTCATCATTATTGTTTTTTTAAAAAAATCATAAACATTAATATGTGTTGCTAAATCACTAATATTAGTACTGCAATCTAGCAGATAACTTGATGATTTTGCTCTACTTAATACTGTCCAGCAGAAGAAAATAATACTATTTTAAACTCAAGCAGCTTTGGCAGTCACTTAAATTGCTGCTCACTTTTTAACAAAACATAAATATGAGGAAACACTTGAGATGTAAAGCCTCATGGAAAGGAGCTTTGGGCAAAACCACACCATTTTTAAATGCACTGTGGTGTAGAAACCTGTCTTCTCCTAATGAAATTTATTATTATTGATGTTACAGAGGCCTGTTGGGTTTCCTCTTCATCACCAAGCCTTTTCTTCCATGCTATTCACTGTAGAAGCATGGAGAGTAGCAATGATGACGCGCTGTAATAGATCAGCTTGAAAGGCATCAATCACACAAGACGTGGAAATCAATCCCTCAAGTTATTTTTATAATGTAATATTTGTAACACACAACAAAAAAACAAAAGAGGCAAGAATCAAGTGATAATTATGTAATTTTCAGAAAACTAAAACATCTCAAAATACGCTTAATTTTTAATTGTTCAGGAAAAAAAAATAAGTTTGACCTTATTAAAAATCTTCCGATTCTTTCATCTTCTAGTGGTAGAATGTAAGATTGTGGCTGGAGATAACCAGATTATTTAATATTTTCTCCCTAAAAATCCCAACTCTTTTTCTTCATTTTCCATATAAAATATTGGGCTTCAAAGTGGCGATAAATCTGTGGTCTGATTTCCATATTGTTTAAATAAAGGCCTTCTGGTGTTGTTGCTGTTGTTTACCAATTACAAAGTTCACTGCAAGGCTAGTAAATGAAAATGCATCAAAATATAAACACACTTTGTACCCAAAGCCTTTGCACAAACCCCAGTGGTTTTAAACTTTATGCTTTTCCACAAAATCTCATTTTTTTAAAAAAGCATCTGAAATCATAAATAAAAAGGCAAAAGAGGATACATGAGTACAGAATTCCTGCTTTGTGACATTTCCAGTCTAATGGTCCTCTGTTCAATCATCCTTTGACAGTAGCTATCAGTACAAAGCTAACATCCAAGCGAGAAGAACAAAATAATGTGTACTGTTGTTCTTAAAAAAAGACTTGTTCAGAAGACTGGTGTTTACTAATAAAAATCTCTCCCTTCCTGCTCATATATTAACTAAAACGAAGAATGCAGTTGGTAACATCCATGGCTTTTGCTCATTCCCATTCTGACTTCGAAAATATAGACGCTTCTCTGCCAGGTAAGAATTGGCATTGATTGGACATGAAATGAAGAGAAACTTGATGAACTGTCAACATTCAGATGTGCACACATAGCACCTATTTTGACACTCTTCTTTTATATTGCAACATGAAACTAATTCGGGATGGACCACATTCTTCTCTGTGAAGTACTCAAGGAAGAAAATAAATAATTTCCCACAAACATACAGTGTGCTGGATTGGGCAACTGCCTCCTTACATGCAGTGATTTTCATGTTCCTGTCTGTTCATACACATTGGTGATACAAATCTTGTAAACATGCCAAACCCTTCTCTTCAAAACAAAAGAAGCCAGACAATGTTCCATTGTGTGGAAGCAAATTTTGTTTGTTTTTTTTTCAGTGCGGCACACATAGTTAGCTCAACTCAGTTCTGTCATTTTTATTTTTCTCTTTGTGATAGTAATGCTAATTTGCCACAATCTGTTGAGGAAAGTTCTATTGGTTTGAACTGTCTTATTTCACATAATGGACATAGTGAGGAGTCACACATAGAACCCATACAATTGGTTCTGACAGTAGCACAGTGAGAGGAGAAGCAGCATCTGAATGGTTTCTCTGATGGAACTACGCACTTCCCTCCACTCCTCCCTCCAGGACTACAAGAGCAGGGAGTCCATGGCTTAGGATAAAGGGCAGCACAGCAATACCAATGCCATGGTGAAAGCAGGGCATGTGCAACCCAGTGCAACTCTGCCACAGCCAAAAGATAGAGACTAAGAATAGAAGAAGAAGCAGATGTTTGAGAAAGGTGTGCCCTCAGAAAACTAGCCAAGCCAAGCCATAACAGGCCATAACCCAACAAAAAGAGAAGAGGTTGCACTACGGGCCTTCCTCTTCTCATCTTTGGATCTGGATGAAACTTGATTAATTCTTAGTTGATATCCGAAACTCTGAATAACTGAGTTGCCTGGCAATTACTCTCAAAATAATTACAGTACATATTATTCAGAAGGCCTCAAAAGGAAATCATTGAAGTTGAAACTAGTGTGCAGAAGAGATTGTGTGCAACTCTTAGTTTTAGAGTGTTTATAAACATTAGGGAACTGCATAAAATTGGATTACACTTCAAAGTCCACTAATAACTTTTTAAAAAATATCACTCCCCATTCCTGACCCAGCTGACAAGTAAGGAATACGAGAAGAGAAAAAACCAGGGTGGATAGTACTGGAGGAAACAGAACAATAAGTGATTCAAATCCAATACCAGGAAGGAAAAAAAAACAAAAAACAACCTTCTCAGATCTTCAATCTAGAGACCAGAATGCAATCGTTGAGTGATGGTTTCTTGAAAATTTTCTCCACTTGCTCTGTTCCCCACACATCTTGGGTGAAGGGGGATCAACCAAATACTATTTATGGCCACATCACATGGGAGAAATGAACAAGCAGAGGGTTTTTTTTTTATAAAACACGTTTAGGTTTGGCATCAAACTCCCAATCAATCCCAAGTAAACCCATAATTCCAAACTAGAATGTGAAAGGCACACTTTTGGTTTCTGAGTAAAATCAGGAGATAGGGTAATGTATCCTGATGTGCATCTTTGTGGGGGAGGGGGGATAAAATAAAAGGGCATTAATTCCAGCTGTATTTTCTTGATACTTGCAGAATGAGACCATTTCTTCAAAATATCCTAAAAGATGGCAGACTTTCTGGGCCACAAGCAAAACTGAACTATCCTGTGTATGTACAATAGTATAAAGGAAATACATCTGTGTATCTTTTCCCTTTTTCCAAATGTACATCATAGGGAAATATAAATTAATGAATTTAAATACATTGCAATACTATTTCTTTTTTTCCAAATAATTTGAGGGCACCCAGCCTTTAAATGGTTTCCCACTGTTGTCCATGATCTGGCAGTACCACCAGCCATTTGGGTTTTTTTCCAATACCTCCATGCAGACACCTTCTTGAAACCCAGCAGTTTCTTCATCTCCCTCATAATCTGCAATGGAGATATAAATATCCTTAAGGTTATTATGAATGAACTGGGATTTTTCAATGGGCTTGGGCCTGACAGTGGACACTGGAAGTCCATTGCGGTCAGTTGGTATGTAAGAGGCATTATCTGACCCTTCAGAGCCCAATCGACTATCATGTTTTACTTTAGACTCATTCATTTGGGATTGGGCAGCACTGAAAGATGAATTACGACGTACGGCCCTCAAATGATCTGTGGCAGAAAGAGACTCATTCCTACGCAGGGAACAAGGCAGATTATTATCCTTGGGGGGTGGGGAAACAAACACTGACTGTGGTCTCACTGCTAGCTGTCTAACTCCATTTCGCAATTTGACAGGCCCAGATGTTTTGGAAAAGCCACCAGGTGGTTTATTAGGAATAGGGGGTGTTGTTCGTTTGTTCTGGTTGATAGTATTCAGTGCCTGGACCTTCTTCTCTATTTTCTCCAAGCTATTGGATTTGCTTTCATTTCTTCTGTTTCTAGCCTGTGATATGTTGGATGTGGCATCTCCTCCACTGGAGGTGTTTTCTTGTTGCTGGTTATCAAAAAGCATCAGATAATGAGAAGGAGCCCACCCTTCTATTTCTCCATATTTCAAATACCACCATCCACTTGACTGCTTTTCCAATACTTCCACTTCTATTCCAGCAGGGAAACTGATTTCAGAATCTTGAACTTTTTGATAAGAATCAGTAGTTATATACAGACATTTTGAGGGGTTGCTTTCATTCTCTGTTTTGGCTAGCTGACTGGCATAAAATGAGGTATGGGAAGGGGATGTAATGAATTCTGCAGAATTTCTTCTGAAAGATTCTTCTGAGTTTCCAGAAATTGCCTGAGGTGGACTTTCAGACTCCTCACTTCTTGAACCTTTAAGTCCACCTCTGAGTTGCCCAGTTGGTCTCAGATGATGACGTAGAGTACTGATGTTCATCATTTCTTGACTTTGAGATTCTGCTTTGTTCAGAAATGGTTTTGGCCTCACCATTGGTTTTGCTTTGCTAGACATGAGCTCTCCAGTATCCCTTTTTGTGCTTGATTTGGGTATACTACTTAGGCCAGCATCTGAGGCTGATCTTGGCTTTGTCTCCTCGTTATGACTGTAATGAGACTTCCCAAAGTTCGTTTGAATATTTTTGGGCTTCAGAAAGGAGGATTTAGGAGAAAGTGAACGTGGAGAATTTCTTTGGATCAAAGATAGTGAGGAACTTCGAGAATCAGAATCACCACTAGATTCCTTGCTTGACAGTGCATCTTCTATGTAAGATCTAAAACCTTCATTTTCATAGATTGTTTCCTCTTCATGAGCCACATCATCAGAAGACTCTCCAACTCGAAATTTTGCTCTTTGGAGAGATGATCCAGAGGAAGGTTTTGGAAGGTGGAATGAGATTCTGTCTGAGTTACCATCTTCTCCTTGGCTCAGCTCAGATTCTGAGTCATGACCAAAGGCAGGCACATCATACTCTGGTTCCTCATATCTCTGCTTGTGTGGGGAATCTTGGCCATCACCTGAAGCTGTGGTACTAGCAGCTGTTACTTCTTCAGAATCCTTTACTTTATTAGGAGGAGCAGGGGGAGGAACTTTGGGCCTGGTCAGAGTACTTGTTCGCCTATTTAAATTGGGTTTCTTCCTTTTATCAATATATGATGCTGGAGCCCAGCCTTCTTTTTCTCCAATCTGGACATACCACCAGCCCCCAGAATTCTTGTCAATAACCTAGAGAAGGATTAAATCATAAATTAATTATGGATGCAAAACATTAATACATTTTTTTTAAATCCAAGCTTCTCTTTGATTTTTTCTCACTATATGACAACTATCCATCACTAACTCATTTCCTATTTTAGTCTTACCTCTGCTTTTTGTCCTCCATGAAAGCTTATTCCATCAGCAATACAAGACTGGAACTCTGCAATAGTATAATATTCAACTTCCACTGATGGTGGTTCAGGAGGTTTAGGTAGTTGAAAGCCCTGTGGCAATAAACAGTGACACAGAGATTAATTAAACATGTCAGAGAACAAGAAGAGGACATCTAAAATCAAATTATTAGAAATCTACTTGCAAGAGACAAATGAATATAAATTGTGGTTGCTGAATCTCCCTAAGCAAGAAAATCAATGTGACATCAGTAGTGGTGCATCCAACCAAAACCAGAATTGGACAACTCACTGTGGCCAACTCATGGACTTATGGATGTGAAGCTGGAGCTTCACTTTAGCACTTTGGCTGAAAGATTCAAAATAAGTTTGACTAATACTCTAATAACACTCTAATGTTCTCGTACCCCTCATATAAAATCATTAGCAATACATTAGCGATAAAACTTTATAGGGATCTACCTAACTATCATCATCAATGAATTCAGACACCCAGATCATAATACGGTCCCTTATGATAAAAAAAAAACTTAACTTATTAATGTACCACTTGTTTCCCTAATTGCTCAGTGGAGAAACCAAGAGCTGGTTTCCTGTACTTAAGCTCTAAATATTAGGCAACGTGTTTGTGTAATACTAAACATTTAGTGACTTAAATATAAAAACAAGATCACTACTTACCAAACTAGATTCTCTTCTTGGAGGAGGTTTCATACGCAGATTTGGTGAACCTTCACAAAGAAGGAATATTTCCAAATTATTGTCAGTAAAATTGTAAGCAAAAGGGTAAAAAGTGATTTACTAAGATGTTTATTAACTCTAAGTCCAGAAGTATTTTTCCCCATACAAAAATATTCTAATAGCCACAGCATATAAAAAACCTGAGCAGATGAAAAGAATCTGTTCTACAGGACATTTCAGAATAAACTATAATAATATATTTCTTGTACTGTTTTACTTGGACTTGCAGACCGGGAAAATGGGCTTTTTCAACAATTCTACTATTTTTACATGTTCAAGTAGTAAACAGGCAATCCTCATATTTAAGCTTGAATCAACACACCAGTATTATTATTTCAAATTTGTAAAGCAAATATGATTTGACCATTTTAAGTTATCAGTCTAATTCCTATATTTTGTACCAAGGAAATTTTCAAAAAATAAATCTGTATGCAACGTATTACTTTAATTTAAGAAGCTTAATATCAAAGAAGAATAACCATGATCAGGTTCTCTAACAAGAAGATACAGATACACTACCAGACAGACAAAGAATCTTTCCATATGTTACTAGGGAGGACAAAGATGGATACTGCTAAACAATGCAGCTAAAAGAGTTATCATGTAACCAGGCTAAATTTTATGACCATTTTTACCATTGCTGTGGTATAATTGCATGGCTTAACACAATTGTTAAGTGACTCTGGCTTCCCTAATTGCTCAGTCACAATCACATGTCCGCAAGATACTGCAACCATCAGTGTGACAGTTTTAACTTTGAGAATGATCACAACCCACTTTTCCTGAGACAAGTCATAATGCCAACTATGAGGCAGCACAAGATGGCTTTACGCTGACACATAACTTTGAATCATCATTAAACAAATGATCATAAGTTGAGGACCATCTGTACCTCAAGATTCAGATCTGTGGAAAAATGTACAGTCTGTTCCAAAAAGGCAAACACTATATCCAAAATCAAAGAAATAATGCCTTGTATTTATCTGGACTGAAGTTTGATTTAGTATTCTCATTCCATACACATAAAAAGAAGAATGTTTATTAATATAGTAATTACACCATATTTTATAGTTATGCGTGATCTTATGAGCTCCATGCAGTTGTAGAACAACATGTGAGGTCAAAATTTAACTTGTGTACCACCAAATACTGTAAATAATGGGTCACTAGTCTCCAAATATCATTTTCCAGAATATGGTTATCAAAACAAAAGCAGAATGACTCGAATGCAGTGCCTTCAGCTAACACATCAGAAGGATACAAGTCCAGAAATATGTTATGATTGATTGCCAAAATCTGCTAATAGGTTTTAATAAATTAAAACGCTGGTACACTACTTCTCCCTGGACAAGCAATCAAAAACCATAAACTAGACTAAAATGGCTATAGTAATTTCAATTATTTATTACTTACTAATTAAATTTATATAGACACTTATGTCACCCAAGGCAACTCTGGCCAGCACACAAAAGATAAAAAGAATATAAAAACAGCAAATATAAATATAAAATACCATAATAATAAATATCCTAAAAATGAAAAAAATATACAGTCCTTTCAACATACAAATAATTCCAAGACTACTAATATGGATTTCAACTCTCTTTCAAGTTGTTTCCAATACTGTAGTTTTTTTGGGATTAGGATTGGGTGGAGATAAAATCACATGGATTATTGCTGAACTCAGTGTGTATGTGTGTGTGCACTTGTGCATGCTCATACTTATGCACCTACATATGTACAGATTACTCCCCACTGTGGAAAGATGTGCAAAAATCAATAGTCCTGACAGATGAAAAAGTTGCAGCTTTTTCACAATCTATAGACTTATAGATTCCTTTTCTAGTTTTATATGGCATGTGCTACCTGTTATGTCCATTGTGTCCATTTATTCAAGAATTAGATTAATAGATTGATTATATGACAAATCTATGTGCTTTGTGCCTATATATACCTTTCATGGAAACAAGCTAGGAAACTGGATATTAAGAAGCGGTATACTGGCTGATCAGAAGGGGGCATCATGGGCTTTTCCAAAAAAATAGTAATTACTCTTACATACCCAAACCTTGCAGTTTATTTTAGATCTTGGAGGTATTAGATGTAGGATCAATGCTGAGGTAGAATGTAGGATGGCAACCTACAGTCCATAGTCTAGGCAGTTTCTTAGCAATATATCACTTTAGCCTGAAATGACTAATATGTTTGTGTGTGTGTGTGTTTGTGCGTGTGTGTTATGTGTGTAGGAGAGAGTGAACAAAAGCATGCTATATGTGAATAACTAGCAATCTTAAAACTACTCTCAAATTCAAATGTAGACAGTCCTTCTAGGGACAAAAAAAGCATAGAATGGGCAACAATGAACAATTAATGGCCGTTTAATTCATGTAGCAGCACAGGAAAAGCAGTTTAGGAAGGTAATCAATAGCTTGTATAACACACTATTGCCAGGCACAGTGTGTAGCTTATTTACTGTCTATCTGAATGTTAAGAACTGTAGAATTTGGACGGTAGCTACAGCATGTTCCAAGGAATGATAGAAGAGAACATTATTGAAAAGTTGTAGAATTAGAGCTACAATCTTACACTAATTTACCACAGACTTAAACGGGGCTTACTTCTGAGTACACATTCATATGTAGATTCATATGCAGTATGAATCTGAGTACACATTCATATGCAGCTTACTTCTGAGTACACATATGCAGAACAATATGCATATCTCAACTTCATATAAACTTGGGATGCAGATTCCCACATAAAGTATATGTAATCTTACACATGTTAAAAAAATAATTGCATGCAAAGGAGCAGTACTGCCCAAACTAACTCATTTTTTTATTATTTTAAGATTTTAAACTTGTGAAGAAATGAAGTGAAAAGAACTAAATTAAATTTGGAAAAATTAACAGCTGAGAAATATCAGAATGGACAGATGTGTTCAAGAGGCAGTAAAAAGGGACTTCTGGTTTGGCGTTGCGGCGACACAGTCGGGGAATTAGTGGGCTCTGATGAGCCAGCAAAAACCCTGGCTGCTGAATGGCCGCTGATGGGTCTTCGGACCGGAACCGTCCTGCAGGGGCGGGGGAAAACCTTGGACAATCAAGAGGAACAGGCAAGTTCCTTGGAGGTCAGAGGGAATCCTCTGTGAGTCGGTGGCAGGGGGGTGGCAGCCATAGAAGCTGCCACGAAGCTGGGACAACCGGGCTAAGAGATGTGCAGGAAGAAAGTGGATTGAAATGGAGCATTTTGAAGCCGGGTGAGTGACAACCAACCCAGGCTTCTAACAACGCTTGGAGCAATATTTTTTACTATAAGACCCCTAGCCTTAAAACAGCGGATGAACAACCGAGGGCTATGGAAAGTTTAAAATGTAATTTTAAAGAGACAAAGACCTGACAAACAACTAACTCTAGAACAAAACCTTGGAGCCTTGGTAGTACAAGGGTTTAAGGCACCCTGTTATTAAGCTGGTTATTAAGACCAGCTGCCTGCAATTACTGCAGGGTTCGAATCTCGCCAAGGCTCAAGGTTGACTCAGCCTTCCATCCTTTCTAAGGTAGGTGAAATGAGGACCCCGTTGTGGGGGCAATAAGCTGACTTTGTATAAATATACAAAAGAATGAAGGCTATTGCTGAGCACATTGTAAGCCGCCCTGAGTCTTCGGAGAAGGGCGGCATATAAATCAAATTAAATAAATAAAAAAAAACTAATGGAATTAAATATCGAGACATGGTGAAAAGACTGGATATTTTAAAACTGGAATTGGATTTATTAAAAAAAAAGATTTGATACTTTTAAAATCAACGAAAGAAAAGTAAACAACTGGACAGTTATATAATTGTAACAAAATGGATACTTGCATGACTAATGGAATATGTGGATTGTAGAGGGACACCTTCTGGTCTAAAAAGGAACATTGTAATTTTTTTTTGCTATGGAAAATTTAGACTTTACAGACAACAGTCGTGGGATTTGTGTAAGAGGTTTTTATCTTCTCGACCACAGGCAGCTTGATGTTGATGAAAAGAAAAAGAAACTACAATGGAACTCCTATAATTTGAATAATAACAATTTATTGGTGCAGGAACAAAAGAAGAATTTAGCGCAGGCTCAAAAGAAGGGAATCTGATGCATTTTATCCGGATTAAAAATAAGAAAAAGATTTAATATAACATATGGAGGACAAAATTTGAAGACTTTGAAAATGGAAGGAAATATATATTAACAGGTGAGAAAGTGAAGAAATGATAGACATGTCTGGAAAAAGAAAAAAGAAGAATTAAAATAATGTGATTAAAAATGAAAAATGTGTAGGTGGTGGTAATAATAAAAAGGAGGTTCTTATAAGATAATTATGGATGTTTAAGAATATGAGAAGAATATGACATAGATATATAAAAATGAAATATTGATGGAAATTAGAATATAAGACAAATTAAGCATGCTAAAAGAGATTTTTAAATATATACAAAGTTAAGCTTTAAACAAGAACCATGTCTCAATGTTAAATGGTCATAAAAAAGGATAATGATAAATATGATTAACTGAAATAAGCAATGTATAGATGGATGGAAACAACAAAGGATGTTGGGATTAATAGTAAAGCTAACCATGATTATGCTGTGATCAACAGCCAAAAAATAAAAAAGAATATGTTGTGTTTAACAGCCAAAAAATAAATATGATTATGCTGTATTTAACAGGCAAAAAACCAAAAATGATTATGCTGTGTTTAACAGCCAAAAAACAAAAATGATTATGTTGGGTAGGACAACAAAACAAAGAGGATTTTTCTGTGAGTAACAGCAAAAATGGAATGATATTATGTTGGGTTTAACAACAAAGGTAAAGATAAAGATGTTGGGTTTAACAGTAAAAATAAAATGATTTTGCTGGGATTAACAGCCAAAAATAAAAATTATTATGCTGGGTAGGACAGCAAAAATAGGGAGGAATATGTTGAGAATAATAGTAAAAATGGAATGTATAAGCTGAATTAAAGAAATAAAGATGATAATGATGAGTTTAACAGTAAAATAAAATGATTATGTTGGAGTTAACACTAAGAAATAAAAATGATTATGTTGTAAAGTAATGAAGATGATTAAAATGGGAAAAATAGTTAAAATAATTTTCAAATGTTTATAATAATTGTAACGATTTATATTATATTATATTATGTTAAAAGATATCCATCTAAGCAAACAAGAAGAGAAAAATGGAATGACATTTGGTTAGGATCTAAGATTTAAGTAACGGGTTTTTGGGATAATGGCATAATGGATAGAATTTAGAGAAATAACTGTGTAAAATATTAAATTGTGTTAATTGGAAGTTAAGAATTGTTAGTGATTTGTACTAATTTGTGACCAGATCAATGCTTCGTTTTGGAAAAGATATGTTTTATGTTTGTGGTTTAAAAAATAAAAAAAACTTTTTTCAAAAAAAAAAAAAAAAAGGAGGCAGTAAAATGTTTAAATCATAAGCCCTTTAACTTTTCCAAACCACTGCCTTCTCAATTTACAGTCCCATTTTATCTGTGTTTCTAAGTGATAAGCTTTGGGAGGGGGAAAGTTAGAAGATCATTGTGATCTTACTTATCTGAGCTCTTTGTGGAGCAATCCGTGCTATGGCAGGGGATCCCTGCACCTGCTTTGAAATCTGCTTGTCTTGGGTCATCATGAAATTGCCATTGGAGTCATTGCATAAGATGGGCAAGCTTATTTCTTTCTTGGTAACATGCGATTCCGTCGTTTCAATTTCTGACTGAGTTTCCTTGTCACTGGAAGATTTCTTGTTCAGCAAGTTGCTGATCTCCATGATGTTTCCTATAATTTCCACTGGTCCTGTAAGATTCTTTTTCCGAATGGGAAGCTCATCTTTTGCTTTCTTCAGATATGATGCTGGGGCCCAGCCTTCTTTGTCTAAATATCTGTAAATACAAAAAATGATTGCAGTTTAGCTGCTTACACCATAAATACATAATGTGGTGCAGAAGCTGAGTTAGCACTACAGATAGTCCTCAACTTACAACAGTTTGTTAACAGAGATTTTAAAGTTACAACGGCACTGAAAAAATTGACTTATGACTGTTTTTCACATTTACAACCATTGCAGCATGGTCACATGATCAAAATTCAGATGCTTGGCAACTGACTCATATTTATGACGGTTGCAATGTCCCAGGGTCATGTGATCACCTTTTGCAACCTTCTGACCACGAAAGTCAATTGGGAAACGGGTTCACTTAACAACTGTGCGATGAACTTAACAACTGTGGCAAGAAAGGCCGTAAATTGGGGCAAAACTTACTTAAGAAATGTCTTAATTAGCAGCAGAAATTTTGGGCTCAATTATGGTCATTAAGTCGAGGACTACCTGTATAAATATGTTTGAAAAGATTATTAAAATGCTTAAAAATAGCAAAACTATTAAATAATCTAATCTGGTTTCCTCTAATTGTTTTCTTATATTGTTCCAGTTTGATGACTAGGAACATTTCTATAAATGATATTTCTTTGTCACATCTCTATCATGCTTCTCCTCCAAAACTTTAAGGAAGCTGCTAAGAGGTCATTTTCATCTTATTTTTACAAAGAAGAAACTCTGTATATAGGCAGGAAACATTTTTATAGGCATTGTATAACCAAGGAAGATATTGCCTTTGTCTTTGTCTCAGGAACTCTACATTCTAAACCATCAAAAATACAATCATACAAAATAATAGCAGTACAATATTAATATATTACCAAAGATTGGGAAGTACAAGTAGTCCTTGACATATGACCACAATTGAACCCAAAGTTTCTGTCGTTAAGTGAGACATTTGTTAAGTGAGTTTTGCCCCATTTTATGACTTTTCTTGCCACAGTTGTTAAGTGAATCACTGCAGTTTATAAATTAGTAACCTGGTTGTTAAGTGAATCTGGCTTCCTCATTGACTTTGCTTGTCAGAAGTTTGCAAAAAGATGTTAACATGATTCTGGGACGCAGGAAAGATCACAAATTATGAACCGGCTGCCAAGCATCTGAATTTTGATCACATGATCATGGGGATGCTGTAAAGATCGTAACTATGAAAAATGGTCATGTCATATTTTTCAGTGCCGTTGTAACTTTGAACAGTCACTAAACAAACTGTTGTAAGTTGAGGATTTGCTGTATTAGAGCAGAAAAGCAGATCTTCTCTGAATCACTGCTTACTCAAAATAAAATATTAGTAATTTAAATTAATTCTTAAGTAAATCTTCAAGAATCCCACTTTGAATCAGGGAAGAAAAAACCTATATTAGTTTTTATTTCTAGCATTTTAAATCAATATAAAAGAAGGACTTATTCTGAATCAAAGCTAAATAGACAGTTCAGCCCCAGAAATATTTAGTTCAGAAGCTAATCTCAGAGTTTCACATTTATTAAACACAGAAACTTTAAAAAAGAACCTATTTCAGAAATACAGAAGAAATTAATCAGCAATTATTAAAAAGCATGTTCAGTTTGCCAGTGCCTCCTGGCCAACTGAATAACATTATTCACACTGGAAGATAAGAGTCTTGAAGAATCATGAACACCAACTAGCTTCAGAAGACATGATAAAAAGACTCCTTAATTTCACAGCACATTGACAGACTTAACCATAGTTAACTGAGGATGCTCCACCAAATTAAATCCAAAGATGCTAGGGAATTCCTAGAAGCTTGGCACTCAGACAAAACAGCCATCAGTAACACATAATGATAAAGAACACTTATATACCATTCAAAAGAAACCATAAAAAATTATAATGAATGATTGGAATATCCCCTTGCCAGCAATCAACATTCAAGATAAACAGGATATTAATATCAGAATTAACACCAAACAATCAAACAATAAACAAAACTCTAATCAATGAATTACCAATTCAAACAATCAAGAAGTAAAAGTCTAATCAAAACTACCAAGAAGAAAACAACATTCCCACCAACATTGATAGGGAAAGCTACTGTATATAAATAGAAAGCAAACTACACACTCTTCTAGCACAAAAGATGTTACCTAGTCTAAGAATGAAATGTCTGCAAGAAAACAACCAAGCTCAGAGAGCACCAAAGACTCCATATAGCAGCCTCTTGACAACTCCAAGGACAACAAGGAGAGATTTCCCTGTAAAAATCACAGGCCCTGGTGTGAAGTTTATAGGACTAAGGCTGAGAGACAACTACTTTGAGGAAATGCAAAGTTGCTCATGGGAGACAGCAGGCACTATTTTGTGATTTTATCTAAAAACTCACATTTTCTTGCTCAAATCTGTGAAAGAAAACAATGAAAACAATGTGACAGGCTAATGGAAAGTCTCCTCTTACTTCCTGAATTCCAAAAGAAAACAAAACTGCTCTCTTTCATGCAGTGACTATTAACAGAATTAGTTTCATTTTAAACATATCTTATGTTGTCAGTGAATATAGACCTGACAAATGAATCAGTCACACAGATTCAGTGAAGCAGCTGTGTTTTTCTTTTGAAGTTTTCAAGAATCTTCTCATTTCAGCTGAAAGATTAGAAACTGAGATCTGCAAAAAGAAAAGCAAGTCAGAATAGGATTTAGGAGTAACACTAGGCCAGCACACCCAGGACTAACACATTTGATAAAGAACTTATGCAGTTGCAATATTCCTAAGAAGCCCAGCTACGCACTAAAAAGCAGCCGACTGTTCCTTCCATGTCATCTCAGGAAATGGCTGTACAAGTGCTCTTCCGGTAGCCCTGTAGGCAACAGAATTCTCGTTAGGATCAAGGCACTCTAGCTGTGACAAAATCAAAGAGGAAGATCCAATCTAGAAACACAAAACTTCAAGGTTCCATATCTTCCTTCTCTGCACAATTCAAAAACGTCCAAGTCTACATGGTGGACAGTAGAACAATCATGGACAGCAATATCATGCAGTTAATCCCCAAGCAGCCGTCTTGATATCTTTCCAATAAATGACACTGGACACAATCCACCTCCTTTATTAAACATGTGACCTTATTGGACAAATTAGTCATTAGTTTTCATAGCTAGCTTTTATGGAAAACTTGAAGTACATGCAACAACTATTAGCCAACTTTCTAACAAGTATAGAAAAGAAAAAATGAGAAAAAAAGAGGATTTTTTTCTTGTTCTGAAAGTGGAATACAATCAGAGAACTGCAACAAGGCGGAGCAGAAAAAAGGGGCTAACTATGTTTCTATCCAAAAATCCACTAATGTTTTAATGCTCTTTGAAGGTAAAACTCAATATTCCAACCATAATACTAAAGGAAAAAGACGAATGGTCAAAATTGCCTGTTTGAGCATTTTCTTTCCCTTTTAAAACATCTGCTTTCCAGCTCCAGAACACTGGAATTATTCCAGAGGGAAGGAAACCAGGAAGGGAGTGGAAGGGGGAGAAAAGTGAAAATCAGAACAGAATCAGCATTTTGTATTTATATTTAAGGAGGAGAATATTAAGAGTTTAAGGTGGAACTTGCTACACCATTATTTGTACTGATTCCTCCTGTAGCACCTAATTCACCACTATAAAAAATATTTCTTATAGCACTTACCTACCTAGTTAGCAGAAATCTCCTACTGATCATCAGTTTTCAAAGCTACTTGTGATGCCACAATGTATGCCCTTTTCAGTGCCCTTATTATCCCTAGCAACATTTCATGTAATCCTTTATGAATCTTGGTAATTATCTGTTTAGTGGATGAAGGAAAGCATAGCAGAGGATTGGATGGAATGCAGAGCCATAAGAGAAGAGAACTAAGAGTGCAAGAACTTCAGTATTTGTGACTCTACCAGATGTAAGAAATATATAATGAATATAATGAAATATTTACATCCTTTGTATTTACATTTGGGTAAATCTAGCATTTGTTGTTTTGGTGCTACTTTTAGAAGCATCACATTCATAATCTAAATAGAAAACTCCTATCCTTGATTAGCCTACAAAAAATTCCATCTCATTAATTCCATTATGACACTAGAGGAAGACGAGAATAGGAATTTCATATCTCAGAATAATTTAAAGAATTAGTTCTCATTACTGAGCTGAAAGAAAATGTGAAGCAAAGCACATTCCTTACAGCTGTTCATGAAGTTTATTATATTTGGGTAGTAATGAAGTCTGAGCTGCTGGTCATAATCCATTGCCCTGGGGTAAACCTCTTTAATTGGCTAATATTATGCAAAGGAAAGAGGTTGGATTAAGCAGACCCTATGCAGATCTAACTTCTACTTGAATTAATTCTAGATAGGCTTTTCCTATCCGCGTTATTACAGTCCAAGACACAAAGTATACATCTTCAAGCCTCGAATACTATGAACAGCTTTGCCATTTGGTTTTAAACAAACCTTTCAAGTTTTGATATCCATGAAATATTATTTTAAAGACCAATAACAGGCTAAATTAAATCTCAGAAATTATGTGTGAATAAAAAAAATATTTTTCATTATACTATTAAGGCAGCTGAAGTGGTCTTTAAGTCATACCAGAGGCGACAAACTTTGACAGGGTGTTATTTGGGGAATGGCTTATTTAGACCTTCTCCACCTTCCACCCTCAATTTAGTGATTATATAAACATAATAATCTCTGTTGGAAAAAAAGTCTGAAAGTAAAATTGCCAGCATGATACCATTTCATCATGGGAGTTTTTAATAAAATAGAAGAATAGCAGCAAAAATATTGGTATTCTTTTTCTTTATCTTCTTTGTAATTAAGAACAATATCCTCCTTTTTCACAGTTTCCCGTAAAAGCAAGCTCTTCCCTTTCCCCTTCCCCAAACCACCAGATATATCGATACAAATATATGTATGGTGGTACCTTGATACTTGATTACTTTAAAAGTTGTAAAATTTCTTTACTAGAAAACATGGATAGGGCAAGCTAGAAATTCAATCCGTTTCATATGAACAGGATATGTGGGATTTTCAAGCATTCCATCTATATTAGTAGCTAAGAGAGCAGGATACAAAATGACATTCTCTGTGTATTTTCAAGGTTGGTATAAGAAAAAGACAAACATGGCTTATTTTTAGACTACAATGTGAACAATCAGAGGGGATGAAAATTCTAATAATATTGAAATTCTTATAGTATAGTCATCTTAAATGAAAATAATGAATACTTTAATGCTCTGTTAGGTTTAAGATAAAATAAAATTTGCTAGTACAAAATCAATCTTTAAAAACAAAAAGGGAATTCAAAAGTAAAATCAGGGAGAGTTGATGACATTGTTTTTCCTCCTGCAAATGCTGTGCACTCTGCTCCTGCACCCTTGGCTTTGGATTAAAGTCCAGAGAATGATTTAAAGACAGAAGAATGCAGAGCTGACAAAAGGCCAACCATTCTCTGCTCACAGTGTTAAGAGTCTACTCCCACTCTATCAGCTTTCCTTTATTGTTGATGGAAAAGTTAGTAGTGAAGATGTTACAGTCACTATGTTTATAGATCATATAGATCTCAGTATGAGTCCATTATTCAAACCAGAGGTGTTGTAAGATGGTGTTGTAAGATGGTCAAACTTCAAAAGCAAATGACAAACTATGAAATGTATCTATTTTATAGGCAAAGTAAAATGAACAGAAAATAATTCGCACAATCCAGAGGTGAAATGGGCCACCCAGAAGAAGGTTCTGTAATAAAGGCAACCCTTTATTAAAGGTCTACTTAAAGCCATTGAGGAGCCAGGTTTCCAGGCTTCTTGATCAAGTACATTCTTTTCTCCATTTGAATTATAGTGATTTTACTTAATAGTTGAACTGCAAGGCTGCAGTCTTTATCACTCTTTGGGAAAAGACCCAGCTAAATTTCTGTAGAATATTTCAAAGAACGTAAGGAGGCAAAAGTATTAGGATCAGTTTGTAAACCTGATTGGTAAACAGTTAACATTGAATAATTTTATATTTTTGTGTGCTTTTGATCTTTATTTCATCAACCAGAAATAGGAGTTGTGCTGAGCACAGCAAATGCGTACGTGGCATTTAATGTATCTAGAACTATGTCATTAAAAATAAGCCCTGGGTTTCTGCATGGAACTAATCATTTAAAGCTACCAAAAGGAAAGTGTTTGAATTACAGCCAAGATTACCTCTTCTCTGCAAAAATTCAACACATATGCTAGCAGAACATGCTGCTCTTTTAAAAAAACCTCTTTTATATACATGAATACACACAAACACAGAGTGCTAAAAGCTTCCCATAGTTTAAAATATCATATTACAAACCTATGGAACACTGCTTTAATTGGAAAAACTAGGAAAATCCATAGAAAAAATTCTTGGAAAATCCACTTAACCACCCATCCTTCTTAAATGCAAGAACAGCTATACTTGGTTTTAATTTTTCTCTCCAATTTGTAAGACAGAAGTCTTCTATTCTCTCCCTAGCTGAAGAAATCTACAAACTGTAAATCTTATTTTACATACGTTATCAAAATAGTTTAACTGGCTTTCATAACATTATTAGCGTTTCTTTATTTGAAACATTTTTGGGTCCTATCTTTGATAGAAATATATAGGATTTTGTTGGAAGCAAAAGGCTTGAACATGCCAAAATGACATTACCTTATGTACCACCATCCTTCCAGGTTCTTTTGAATGACGTCCACAGTGACTCCCTTGTCGAAACTAATTTCATCCTTCCCTTGGCTGGTATATGACTGAATTGTGACATATTTCTCTTCTAGCAAAGAGAGAGAAGACAACATCAGTTAAGATCAAACAGCTGTTTTCTCTTCTCTCATTGTGATTTCAAATTATTTTGCAGGCAATTAAAATCCTTGAGCATTGCAGAGGTGGAGTCTTGCTTGTGAGATCATACACCTATTAATTATCATACTGTAAGCATGCCTGTGTCAGCACCATCACCACCGCCCAGCTCCTTTCATGCCAACAAATGAGACAGGGTGTCTAGAGAAGGGGCTCCCCTGCATTATACATATGGTATTGACAAAAATCAAACAAGCTGCCAAAGAAGCAAAGCAGTACTGGAGGAACCTTCTCCAGCTGGCTCCATTTAATACACACATGATTATAGTAACCCTGCATTACTGGAATCCGTACAGTGAAGCTGGAGCATTACCAAAAGTCCTTCAACCCAGAGGAACAGACTGAACTATCCTTTTCACACTCCTACAAACAATATCATGTTTCAGTACAAAGCAGCCAGGATTTCTTTTTGTTGATTAGATCATATTCTGCTTACAGGTCGTCTCTACTCATAAAAGAAGAGCAAGTGTATCTTTTTAGCCTTTTTAAAAAATAAAAAATGCTAATTCATTGTTAACCTCCTGGATTACTTACTGCAGACTATAAACACTTGCACCATCAGGAAAACTCATCCCACACTTTAGTTAACCAGGTTCAGAGGAACACTCATCCTTTTAAGCCAGCGCTGGTTATATAGAGAGAAGGATTTTACATTGATAAGAAGTTGTGGGCCTGAATTTTGACCTTCCATACTGAAGGCATGTAGGCTACCTCTGAAGTATAGTTCTGTTAATCTAGGTATTAACATTGACTGGTATTTCTTACAGACCATGATCTTTAATAAACTAAGGCATGATTCTGAGAATCCAGAAACACTCCTCTTGATATTGTTTCTGGATTATCAGAAACAATATCACTTCTGTCCTCACTGTCCCCACTTTAATATTTAAAGTGCAGGATCCTTATTTATTATTTGTGTACTCTGTTTTCTACCCAGGGTACTTGAAAATAGCTACATTATATATTTTCCCAATTCTATAGTTCTTATAAGAATTGAGAGAGAGAGAATAAGCCAAGGCTATAGATAATCTGACTGTCTTTACAAATAAGATTTGAAGCAGAATTATTTCACCTTAATCTGAGTTTGGTTTATGCACACAGTTGGTCTGGCAGAAGTGGTTGTCCCTCCCTATTCCATGAACAGCTTTCAAGAGATGCTGCACAAGTGGTGGAAAGGACTCTACTTAATATGATTATTTTTATCCTAAGATCTCAAAGAGACACATTTGGAGGTCTCCTTTCTTGACAACAATTCTATAAGGAAAGTTGGCTGATCAGCCCAAAGTCACCTAGCAAGCTTTATAGCTAAGTAAGGACTTGAACATAGGCATCCTTAGAAATCACTACATCACACATTTAAGACTATGTCAAGATGGAGACAAATTGACACAAATCTCTTATCAGAAGAAGCCTAAATTGTGGAAATTGTATACTGGTACACTGTTGCCTATTTCTAGAACATGTGCGTTAAAAGAAGAAAGCAAAATATCCCCACATTAACTTAAGTAATACATCTGGATATGGTTGAACACTGGATAAGGAAGACTGTAATTGCAATAGACAAAAGCAGGTTTCTTATGTAAAATGTTTTTAAAGAAATGAGGGATATTGTTCCAGAGGAAAATAAAGAATTTTAATAATAGATAGTGGATTATTTGGAGCTGCAGAAATTTGCACACAACAAATTAAATAGAACAACCCCAAGGGAAATGGGTTTGCTATTAGAGCCAATAAAGGTGGATAAAAGCAACCTCATAAAAAAAGATCATAAATGGAAGGGATGGGGGAGACTATGAGTATCTGGAGTAGATTAGTCTCAGCTGTTTTAAGATTGAAGGATGGTGTGTAGGACATAATTAGATGAGATTCCAGGCCAATTCAGATAACATTGTGGGTTATTGTAGATGCTTAATCCACCATTACTGCTATAAGAATTTCTCAATTTTAGTCATGAAATTGAAACTGGTTTAACTTCTTTTGTAACTTGCACATCAGCAAATATGGATTATAGTCCTAGCATTGGTTGAATCTAGGTGCTTGGCATAATTTGAAGAGTCTCAATACTCTTATTGACCAGCTGTGAGGTTTTACATATTGCTAATAAGAGGACAGGAGATAACAGCAATGCGGACAGGATTACTCTTGCTTCCTGTTTACAGTTAGTTTTAACATGCTGTTTTCAGCATACCTTGTGAATCAGCTATTTTCTGTCGCTAGTTAAAAAGAAGGAAAACTTGAAAGCCTATGTGAACAGAATCAGTCTCAATTTGGCATGATGATTGACCATACTAACTGGAGATGATAAATAGTTGTATTCTAATATAATCTAGAAGATCCTACTATAAGGGAAACCTGATAGATATTTCAAAAGCAGCCATGTTATAAAACTACTGTGGACCTGTACTAGATCATTCCTCATGACACTAGTGGCCATAATGGTGTGATACCAATCTGATTCCCAGAGGCAAATGAGTTTATGCAACAAATATAATGAACATACAGTGTAATTTACTTAATACAAAAACTTCACAATACCACTCTCTCATCCCCTTCAAATGAACTAATGGCATCAGGACATTAATATTTCATACAGAGTAAACTGTTTTTCATTATACATCTTTTGGTGGAAAAAGGAAGGAAAAATTAATTCCAAACTACTCTTTATGCACAGTCGATTTTGAAAATGTGATATAAAACATAAGCAATTTTAGTGAATAATGAGGTGTCAGCTTATCTTTCAAGTGTTCATTTAAATAAAAATATAGTTTCCAATAATGGATTCAGCAGCATTTTCGAGGAGCTACTGAAGCTGTTTTAAAGTTCAGAGTAAACCAGTTAAACATTACAATGTTTTATGTGACTCATGTATAATAACATTTTGCCTGCTTTCTAAGCCTCAGTAGTTAAGCATAAGGAATTGTCTGATTGTGTAGAGGATATAGAAGTATGTACATCATCTGACTACCCTGTGTTGACAGGAAAGATTTGAAGAAAGGCTGTTATGATATTCAGCTAAATGGTATACAGTGTTATATGAAGTACTCCACCAAATTGCTGTTTTTCTAATGCATTATCACACTGAGAAGAGCTCTAGACTCAGCCTGTGTATCTCCAGATTCTCATATTGTCTGACTATTACTCTTGGAGAGATGGACTTGGAATGCAAGATTTTGAGGGTTAATAAATTTCCCAACTCTTCTTGTCTCGTGCCTAATGGCAATATTTAAAAAGGAGGAAGATATCAGAAGCAAGAAGAATAGTTTTATATAATTCTTAGCAGACATATTGGAGTGACCATTTATACCCTTAAATCCAATGTTCTGTTCATGGCAAAAATCCTAAGTCAAAGCATTCCAGATGGCAGCTGTATGGTCTCCACTTAAACATGTCAGCTGAAGAAGAGCCCACAATCTCAGTTTCATTGTTCATCTACTGTTAAACATTTGTTCCCCCTAAAAACCATAATCTACCTTTCTGTAATTTAAATCCATATTTATATGTGTTGAACATTTGGACTAGAAAGCAAAAAGGTTCTGATTCTATGTGACATCCTTTCTGTAGTAGAAGGGTATTTGCATATTCTTCAATTATCTTCCAGCTGAAATGTATCTTGACCTTTCAATGTCTCTTCTCAAGATATAGTTTCTAGACATACACAGGGCTCTTTTTTGGAACTGTTCCAATTTCTCTACATCTTTCTTAAAATGTCGTGTCCTAGACAACTGGTGGATAAAGTCTCTCTGATATGCTCTGAGCTGCACTCTATCTAGTCAATTCCTATGCAGATGATTCCTACAAAGATGACTGAAACAAATTTTGGGATGAGTTCAAGCCTTTCAGTCTCAAGGAATACAACCTTTCAGTCTGTATACTCAAGGAAGTATACATAGTTTTTGGAGTTGTAAGTACAGCCACTTGTATATTAGATTCATTTTTATCATTCAAAAACTGGTCTTTTGTATCTCAGAATTTTAGAAATTTTCTTTGTGCTCTGTAGGGCTCAAAACGAATTTGAAAAGAAGAATCTGGAGATGGTATTGGCAATGTAACAATACATTGTGGTGGTGATTATTAGCAGTACTTCTTGCTACAAGTATTACCAGTTAACATTTCCTTTTGCAGTTTTATTTTTTTTAAAAAAACTCAGTTTTACGATAAATACACACATAACTGAAATAAGCCATCTTGCTACAAAAAGCTGACTCACAGCAAACCTTGTTTTAGAAGAAGATTCAGATAGTTCAAATAAGGTTTGGGCTTAAAGTCAAATATGCAACTGCTAAACAGCTGAAGTTTGCCCATCACCAAGTCTGGTTTCCAAAGATTCATTTACTCTGGAAAAAAGCCATCCAAAATTGAACGTGAATTCTGATACATTTTCGTTGTTTATTTAAGAAAAGGAAAAGCAAGGCATAAAAAGACTAAAGGATAAAAGGATAAAATGCTTATAACTGGGTGTTGTAAAAGATTTAATTTCTATAGATATTAGAGCTTCATTTATGGTATGGTTATCTTTTTTATTTTTAAGCATTCTAATCCGGAACAGGAAGCTATCATTAAAGTTTCTGTTTGCAAAGTGATTTTGCAGCAAAATACTGTAACATTTTCCAAATTACATCTATTTGATTTCTTGCTGTGATGGAAAAGAAGAGCCCACAAACACAAAATAAATGAGATTTAGGCAGTGAATTTTGACTATTGGTCTCCTTGTAAAACCTCAAAGCAAGTTGGGATAATCCTGTCTCAAGGTTATTCATGAACAATTCTAAAATCAAATTATGCAAGTTGGCATTTATGGGAAAAGCAAAAAACCATTATCACGAGGACCCAGATTGTTGGGGGCAATATGCTGACTCTGTAAACCGCTTAGAGAAGGCTGTAAAGCACTGTGAAGCAGTATATAAGTCTAAGTGCTATTGCTATCATTTAGAAGAATGATTGAACTGACCAAAGAAGTTTAAGCAATTCTGAATATGACAATGATTAATTTAGTACATTTACTTTTTTTCCCAAATAAAACTAAAGTGAACAATATAGTCTTCATTGTTCTTACAGCAGATTTCAAATCCTCAAAGGTATTCCTGGCTAACTCGGCTGTCAGAATATTGAATTGATATGGCATAGGGTTCCCATTGTGTGACACACTGAAGCAAGTTAAACAACGGATTAAAGATATACATGGGCAAATGGACATGGCAACTCTTTCAACTAATCACTCCCTTAAGCTTCTGACAGCAGTTAAAACAACTTTTACCCTGGAAAAATATTTTCATCTAGAAATGCCATCAGTGGAGAGAGAGCTATTTGTCAAGTTTAGATTTGAACTTTTAGATACCAACATTAAATTCAGCCGTTACCGGAAAATCCCGTATGACGAAAGAACATGTATATGTCGGACAAATGTCGTGGAAGATCGGCGCATATAATATTTGAATGTAGGTTGTATGAGAAAGTAAGAAAACAATATCTGTCCCCAATTATAAATAAATTTCCACACTGGAATGTAAGGCATAAATTATTATTTCTATTGAAGGCAGACTCTCCTCCCCTGGTATGGGCTATCACTCGCTATCTTAAAAGAATGACAGCAATACGAGCCAGTTATATCGAAAAGAATTTCATTGATTGTAAGAAAGATGAGCTAAGTTAGAGAGGAGCTATCTTATTTGGGATATCTAGTTTTGGAAATCTAGTTATTGAGCTTCAATATTGTTAAATTTTAAATGTCATATATCATATATTTTTAGACTGTTATTTCTGTAACTGTTTGTTTTATCTTTTTCTTTTTTTTGAAAAGGCCTTCGGGCTATTCAATAAAAGAATGAAATCATTGTTCTTAGATATGTGATCTATTTTTGAGAGATTTTGTGTGTGGTGTGTGTGTGTAAAATGCTTTTATGAATAATTAATCATATCTTATTTTAAAACAAGTGAATATTTAAAGGAGTGGGTGCTTTCAGCTTCTCCCATGTAGTACTTCTTTCACTTATTTTCAGACATAACTCCTTCCTTTTTGTCTCTAACTTGCCTACTAATGTTCCAGACAGCATTAACTGTATACAAGCAGGGAGCTCGCTAGGATCTCATTTACTTCTCTGAATCCTCAAACTCTTCTGGATGCTTTGAAATATAAGATTTGCTAAAATCTTCAGCATTTATTCACATAAATTGCTGAAAATCTAAGAAATGTTACTTTCTTTTTCAAACAAACATTGGATGAGGTTTCTCACTTTTCTCACTCACTTTTTAAGGTAAGCAAATATATATACACAGTATTTAGCCTCTTTTAGATTTTCTGAATTTTTGCATACCGGTATCTTTGTCACTGAATGTTATTTGTTGCATGTGAGTCTTTCTGATATATAAAGGGAGCTTGAGAAAACAAAAATTTGGTGTTTATTTAATAAACAATGTCATGTAATGTGTCAAAAAACACTCCATTAGTTTAATTGGTTAAAATTAAATCAATCAAAGAATAAATAGGTGCCCTAATACAAATACTCAAACAGTCAGGACTGGTTTGGTCATTCCTGCCCATACAAATCTCACTCTGGCTCCCCTCATCACAGTCAAGTTTTTACCAGGCTTCTTATACGAGCCTGTCATACCCTGCTCACAATAACATTTTAAACATTTTGTCTTGTTTGTACTTTTAAACAAATAAAAATATATTTTAAAAAAATAAACTTCTGTGCTTAGTCATGGATGCTAATCAGTGTAGAAAAGGTTATAAAATAATTTCTAACACTTTGGGGGGCTTCACCCATCCACAAATCTTGAAATGGAGAAGGGGTATGACAATAGTAAGTGTCCCACAAAATGGCCACCATATCAAAATTGCTCAAAGAGAACAGCATGACATCTCAAAGAAGACAAGAATATAACTTGCCTTGGTCTCCCATCAGAAAAATACTGGCTCAGAATGGGAAAGTGGTGAAGTGGAAGCAGCAGTTCATTAAGAAAAACTGATGCTCTCCTCAAATTTGCCCACAAGTAAATTTCTTCATATACCACAAACAAATTAACCAAGAAATAAATATACTCTACTTTACAGATTGTAAATTTACAAATCTAGCCATTTCATCTACACTAATACTTTCTGTTAAAAAAAAAATGCTGGATATACAAACCAATGCAAGTGGCTGCCATACAAAAGCCTATCTACCAAACTCCATCTTAACTATTTTCGAGGTAAACAGAAGAGCTGAAGCAAGGACAAGTATCCACTTGTTTAATTTGTGATGCTGTATCAGTAATGGAACATCACTATAGAATCTGAGAGTGTGTGGAAGAAAAGGCATGCAGTTTAGAGGATCATCTAATTAAGGTTCCTACATAAAATGCAATAGTTCAAATTCTATGTTTTTCAAACCACAAAATAATTCTCCTTAAACACACTTTCCCCTCAGTCAGCAGTCTTTTCACTCTACTCATTCTTCTTTCTTTAAATCAGCTCATTTAGGCCAAGTTTCTGTATCTAAGAATTATTTTTAAAATGATGACCTAATACTAAAGTTTTAGAACATTTATGGCCATAATAGATATTCCTCTAATGGGAGCCTTGTGAGGATGTGTCTTTTTAACAAATACAAATGGAATTCAGTCAATAACTTCAGGCTTAAAATAAATGCAGCAACTATCGTGTCTCTTTCTTAAATGATTGTGCCACAACCAGGAATAACAAATTTCATAACTTTAAAAGACTTTAGGTTTTTTTTAAAAAATAAATCATACTCTTTTCTCAAAGCATTATATGCAAGACATTTATTACTGTATTGCTCGAACCATTGCTGATAAATTATAAAAATATAAATTTCATACAATATATATATAATGCTAAACATAGAAACCTGATTTGATTTGCACTGATTCAGTTATTTAGAAATATCCTGGAGTCTAAGATTATTTTATGCAAAAGAGTTTAATCACATAGCATGCAAAAGCTGATTCCAAGGTTTATGTTACAGACACTATAGGTTATTTAAGAGACAATCTAAATATCTTTTAAAAATATTTTCAACATTCTCTTATTCACTCTTTCTCAGGCACTTAAATCTGCCTATTGTCTTGTATGCAAATATGATTTAAACTAAATACCAACACTTCAGAAACTCACATTCAGTGATATTTTTAATTTATTAAATGAATTTAATATATTTATTAAGCCAATATGAATATCTGACAGTGGAACTATTAGTGGAAATATTCAGTAACATTTGGGAACTCATGAGAAGAAAAATCACTTTTCTTTTCTGCTAGAAAAAGAAGAATTAATAGAAAAGAAACCAAGTTCTTGATGAACCGAGGGCACTGTTGATATATAATGCTAAATTGTCTCATACTTTGTTTCTACAGTGTGACACATAATTTGCTCTTATACTGTGATTTTTTTTCTATTTTGGAATAAGTTCACCTGTTACAATAAGTCATTCTGTGGATTATATATAAACTAAGTTTTCTAAATTACTTTACAATGTTAATTTTTAAAAAAAGTTAATATAAACTATTAACTGAGGATTTGGAAACATTTTCTTTTTAATCCAAATGCCAAATGTGATAGTTAACTCATTTTTAAAAACAATTTCAAAGTTAATTCTAGATTTGTACAAATTTCAGTTGCCAAATGGGGAAGAGAAACTAACTTCTCCAATCAAATTTGTTTCAGTCATTTCTCAAAGCAGGTCTTTCCCTTATGAATAACAGCAATGCTTCTAGTGAACAAAACTGAATTGGAGGAAGTAACTCTTGATCTCTTAGAATCTCTCTAGGGAAGCAAGGAAGGTCAAGGAGGCTACAGATCACAGGAAAGATGATTAGTCAATAAAAAGCCTGACCATTCAAACACATCTACATCTTGCCCCTCTCATAACTGTAAGATTGCCACATACCTCTTGAGAACTTTTCCAAAATGTACATTTAGAAGAACTCTTAATGAAATTTTTAACCAAATTTTTTTAAAATAGAAAAAGATAAGTATATCTTTTTGCATTACGCTAGAATAAACATACCTTTGAATAAATACAGAAAAAGATTCTCAACAATCCCAGATTTCATTACAGATTAGATTACTAGAACAATTGTTTGTAAAAAAACAAGTGTCTCTAGTGACTTTAATTGACTTCTATCTTGAAATGTTATCAGCAGATAACATTACAATACCCTCTATCTTCACTGCAAACAGATTTATTTCTGCTGCAGGGAAACAAGGCCCTATCAAAGCTTATGCAGCTGTCAGCCATTCTTAGCAGCGTCAGATAGCAAGAGAAACAGCAGCAACCAGCATGTGCATCTTTCAAGGGACCGCATCCCAGAAAAATGTTCACCTCGACTCTGCTGCCTGTTGACCATCCCTCCCAGTGTCCATCGCCGGTCCAAGCGCCTCAGATGAGCCTTGCGTCTCTTAGAAACTATTTTGGAAAAATGGATGAAAGCATAAAAAAAGGAAAGAAATATAAAATATGATGGATGGAGAACAGAAACTGAACAAAAAACAATGATCTTTGCATAGCTTCATCTTGCATTAACAAGAATGTGATGTGATAAATAATATAATGAGATTACTTTACAACATGTCATTAAGCAAGGACCTCACATGACCATAGTGTTTGACTTTCTGCTGGCTTCCACATTGACTTTGTTTGTGGGAAGCCCGGCAGAGAAAGTCACAAATTGCAATCCCGTGACCCTGGATGTTGCAACAACCGTAAGTATGAGATCTTGTTGTAACTACCACTGTTATTAGCACTGTTACAAGTTTGAAAAATTGCTGAATGAATGGTCATTAAATGAGGACCTCCTGTAATCCTAAGAGGCTGCATGTTTTTTGGTCTCTTGGAAGCAAAACCAGCCTTTAAAACAATGAATATCCAAACCGGTTTTTTATTTAGGTTTCAGATATTTTGAAGAAGATTTTTTTTTTAAACCTAGTAAATTGGAAGTAAGGTCCTGGAAACAGGTGACATCATGGGAGTGTGAGCAGGGTGAGGAAGGAACACCCCTGATCTATTCCCAAAACAGATAATTAAAATATTTTAGGTAATTATGAGAGAATAGTGTAAATAATCTGAGGAAGACATGAACTGAGCCAAAACTTGTAAGAGTTAGCACACACAATTTCTATCTTGAGACCAACTTTCTGATTCTTTAACAATGACATTTAGAGAGATCCAAGGCATTTATATGTGCTGACAGATATGACAATCTCATCTGTTCAATATGCAGACTCACTTGTGTATAGAAAGAAAGAATTCTTTGTGACAGTTTAATTGTTAAAATAGCTGAACACAGAGGACATTTCATTGTTGCTTTTTTTGCCAGGAAGTAACATGTTTACTGAATATTCTCAAGTTCAATGTACAAAGAGAAAGAAATAAATCTACCAGTTTTAGTCTTGAGTAAAAAAAATAAAATAAAGAATTCCTGTGAAGAAAAAATATGTAAGCTTGCATTAACAGCCCCAGTTATATTTGATTATGTTTATTATTTTATTTTTATTTTATTTTTTATTTGTATCCTGCCTTTTTATTTTTAGAAATTATTCAAGATAGTGAACATATTCAGCATATCTTCCCCCTCCTATTTTCCATACATCAGCAGTCCTGTGAGCTGAGCCAAGTTGAGAGAGAGAGTGATAGGCCCAAAGTCATCTAGATGGCTTCCATGGCAAGGTAGGAAGGACTTGAACTTGTGATCTCCCACTTTCTAGCCTGGTGCCTTAACCACCAGACCAAACTGACACTTTGTATATTACCCATCTACAACTGATTCCTGAAATTCCTAGTCTACCAATCAAATATCATTTTGCCATACCATTGTCTACCACCCAGCATCCTCTAATATGTGAGCTGAATCTTTCTACTTGTATAGATTTTTTCCTCAACTGGCCAAAGAACACTATGCTCTGCTTTCCAAGAGGCAAATGCTGATAAATTACAAAAAAACTTGCTTTCTGCTTTCCACAACATTTGTACTTCCATTTAAACATAGCTGGATTGAAATTGGAGTATGGGGTATCAGCTACCTGTACTCCATTATTTTGCTATGGTAATATATTTTGGTTTTTTAAATCTCTCGGCATAGTTCAATGGAATATGATCAGACTGTCACTGCACTGGGATCCTCAATAAAACTTAATGCCAAGTGTCCTCTGTGCACAGTTACTCAGGTTTTAAATGATGAACAACTTATATAGGAATGTAATAATGAGAAAAATATATGCTAAAATGGAGCAAATACATGGGAATAGGTTGATTCAGTTAGCACCATCCAAAGGAGGTTAGCTAAAAGCACTTTTTGGAAAAGGTGTATTTGCCAGATTTTATAGCATATAAAATCAGACAAAAATGCTTATGAAATAGAACAAAAATACAATAATCTTTACAATGCATATGATTAAGTATGTGTTTCATTTTTAAAATACTTTAAAATTGAGAGTTTTATAGACATTACACATTACTCCCAACAATAAGAAATTAAAGAGAAAATTAGAGTAAGAAGTTATTGGATCCTAAATCTCTTGCCAATTAATAGAATACATTACTAATATATATCACTGTTATAATTATTCCAGCTAATTGCTAGAAGTTTTGCATTGCTATTATCATACAGAATTAACATTTATGTTGAATACCTTTATTACAGTTTCTAAATTTTTCTGTATAACTCAAAAAATGAATATTTCTTATATTCCTTATGGACTCCATTCTTATAATCAAGAAGCTCTGGATCACAGTAATAAATTTTTACACTTCCTTGCTGCACTATATTTGAATGGAGAAAAGTACCTGAAAGTGCATCAGGTTTTCTTACCTTCTCCTTTTTTGGACATGTTAATTTCAGAATCATCTCTAATTCCACTTTGGGATTCCAAATAAGTTGCAGGGACCCAGCCTTGCTCTTCTGAAGTACTTACAAACCACCAACCTGTAAGTATACAGCAAAATTGTTGTTATAGACAAGCAAGTTCTTAGAACCGTCATCATGGGGTAAAATTGATAATAGAAGAAAATATAGAAGCCAGAAGCTGTCATAGAACCTGCTGGAAACTATTTTTGTGTATTTTACTTTTAAGGTTCTACAGAGAGATTTAAAAATAACCTGTGGGTTTTGTTTGTTCCTCTCCAGAAGTATCACTGGAAGCCTTCCTGAGATTCCTTGCTGGCATATGAAGGGTTCAAGAACTTGTGTTTGAGACAAACTGTTAATGTGGAATTCAAATATTTAATAGACATATGAAGAGAAGGGAATCTGGAAAGTGACAGCTTGCCTTTACTTATGTGACAAATTTATCATTGAATATTTTCTACAGCTCACATGCTGAAGTTGAAAAGGAGTGAATAAGTTGCCAAGAATGAATATAGCAGAATCCATATCCAATTTTCCCATATTAAGTTGCTATGTGAGTGTTGAGAAATCAGTTTAGCCCAAATTAATTGTATCTGTGAATGTTTAAATACTGTTGAAGTTCTTAAAAGTATTTAGGGTCAAGTACATAAATAAAATGGAGATGTGGGTACGCTATACTATTCACTAAATGTTATTTTGATATTCTGTATTTCATGGAATTCAAAACCACCAGACTGTGAATCCTAGTCCCATTTTAGGCACAAAATCATCTGGGTGACTTTGGGCTTGTCACAATCTCTCAGCCTTAGGAAAAAGACAATGGCACTTCTGAAAATCTTGCAAAGAAAATTGCAGGGACTTTGCCCAGTCAGTTGCTAGGAGTCAAGACTGATTCAAGGCATACATGCACACACACACAGACCAAATTTTATGGAATTAGATATTATTCCATTCCTAAAAACAGATGCTTATTCTCCAAAATGAACTAATATTTATCCAGGAAATATCCAGGATTTCCACTTTAGCTGACAAATCTATTCAAATGCAATTTATAATCCTTCTTACACTCCAGTATTAAAAGCAGTCTTTAACTTTTGGCAGGTTCTTTCTGCTTCATTCACCATTAAATATATAAAAAAAGTGTTATTATTGAGAAGTAAAATATATCATTTGATTACTCTGTTTTATATGTACACTGATCAGTAATTTGTGAATTGGACAATATGTGCTGTTACAGTTATTCAATTGAGAGATGAGGAATAATATGGACCTTCTCTTTTAAAATTCCCGCCTTTCACAAACACATTTCCCAATGCTAGCCCTTTATTATTATAAATTAAGACATAGAAATGAATATGAATATGAAGAATTATTGCTTATATCTGCTTTATCTTCCACCTTTTTGTCTAGGGATAGAAACAATTTGCCCATAAATGAAGAGGAGCAGTTGGGACACAGTTGGAAAACAAGGCCTGGATAATTGTGAGGAATACCTCATGTATCTTATTTCATTGTATGTAGTGGTCTCTATAATAAATACATGGTGTGAGGAGAAAAAGTTGGTTGTGCAGATAAACAGCAACACTTACTCAAAAACATTTGCATATACTCAGAAGCAAACTATTATTAAACTTAATAATTTCGCCTACCTGACTGATTTTTGGCACTACTGTGCTTTAGCATTCCTTCACTATGAAATTCAGAGAATAGTTTACAGCTGGTATAAATAAAACACAGAGCATAAGAGTGCATGCCTTTAAATTTATATTAATTTGATTATCAGCATTTTTAATCCCTTTTTTCTGCTTGCAGCATATTTGAGTCTGGATCGTTTTGGCTCTACTACACTGTATTCTATGCCCCACTGCTACCTTGAATGAGTCTACCTTCACTCCCATTTATGAGCTCCACTCCTCCCACCGCCCGCCCCACAGTTACGCAGATCCTATGATTTTCCATTTCATCTCTCAGGCTTTCCATTTATTTCCTCCCCCTAGAGATCAACAGAATAAATATTTTGTTAAGACAAAAAGAACTATTTGTATAAGGTGTCATGAATAAATGTCGAAGTAACACCAAGGCTCCTTGACACTGCAGGTAGGGAAGTCATATTTGAAATCGCAGGAGTAATAAAAAACAGACCGTGGTCTCTTAAATCTAAGGGAGGCCTTGCACTCTGAGACTGACTACCTCCAACCATTTTGAAAAGAACTGGATATATAAGGTCTATCTTGGAGCTTAGTCAGAACGATTTTCGAAACTATTTCTAATGTCCCTGGCTGTTATAAAAACACTGAAATAATGCAAGTAGATATCTGACTTTGTGTCTCCCTGCCCCTTCATTGTTTTTCTGTTGTTGCCATACAAAATCATAAGCATTGTTACTGATTTATGTTTGTATTAGTCAAATGTACATCACTTTTTATCCTGGTACCCTTATATTCTGTAGGCTACCCTTTCATTTACCCTTATCATCTGCAGAGTAATTTTTCAAGTTCTTAAGTCCTCAAATCTACAATTGTGAGAATGTATATGCCTCAATATTCATCCCTACGGGTTTCCAAATCACCTATAATATATGACATTATTATTAAATTCAATTTCACATTTCTCAATTGTTTCAAAAAGAATAAAAAATAAACAGTACAAATTATACCATAACCCCAAGAAGCAAAGTTTTCCAAAGCTTAATCTGTTTTTCTCAGTTGGAGAATTTAAATTTAATTAGATTGCTACACAGTAGGGGAGTGATTCTCCCAATATGATATTCACCCATGGCAGCTGTCTATACAAAATAATACTAAAAAGATAATTGACACAGCCACTTCATTTCAAAACAATTTCACATAGTTTGCTGCTCAAAATGAGGATTTTTTTTAGCAATAGCAAGGACAAGAGGCACAGTGAGTTGAACATACATTTGTAATTATAGCAGAGAAGTAAATAGACCAGAAGCTGATGTACATCTGATCCTAATTAGATGGAAATGGTCCTATGAATTGTTCTTCATAAGGAAATGTTGGATGAGTGAGAAGGTCTGTACTATAGTTAGCACTGAAAACCCATAAACTTTAAGTCTTTTATTTTATTCCACATTTTGGTTTTTTATATAGTTCTCAAATGCACCAAGTTAGAAAATAGCTAACAGCCATTTTCAACTCAGATCAAAACCAATTTATATCTCTTAAATAGATATGTTTTTCCATTCCATACTAATTTTCAGGAAAGCAGAGCACTCTTGGGAGACAAAATATTTCTGACCTATAGGAAAAATCCTTTCCACTCTATTGTAAGACTACTTTGGAGGTCCAGAGGAAAGGAGAGGGAAAGAATCAGTAATCTTCATGATTTAGAACTCCATAACAAAATCAATCTCTAAAGATATGCAATTACACTGGGATTACTTTCATATAAAGCAGAAAGCTCTATGCAATCTTGCTTTGCTCCAACAGCTTTTTCTGTTCTTTGAATTTCTGCTTCTTGACATGACAATTGGACTGTAGGTCTTGGACTCATTCAGCCACACAACTGCAGATCCAAACTTGCTAACAAAATGTCAGTATTACTAAATTTTTCCTCATCCAAATTAAAATGATGTCAAGAAATAATAATAAGAAGTGTATTAACAGAAAGCATAATTGGGATTTGAAATAAGGGTTAGGATCAATTATCTTAGAATTTCATCAAGTAGTTGGCCCATATAAATCAATGCAGAACGATCTAATTTACATTAGTACAATGAGAACATCTAGACACACTTTTTAAAAGCAGCACATAATTAAAAGTATTAATGCTAAAGTGGGGAACCTGATGGGTCTATTTTTCCAAACAGAGTATTATTAGTGTTTACAACTTCAGGAAGTATATTGAAGTTAGATTTCTTATTGAATAAACTCAAAAGAATTACTTTTATAAATAGTCAATTAAATATTCACATACTGCAAAATGCAAGAAGCCTTTTTTAAAAGTGCAGAACTAATGTCTGGGATATGTTGGGAAGCACTTGTGTGCGTGCAACCGATTAAAGACAAAATCAATTGAAGCTAAACTCAAAACCAAATGCTGAACAGAGGGACAAATAATCTGAACTTTATGGCAATAATTTTATAAACCATTCAACATAAGTAAACTCATGGGAATCAAATTAATCTTATGCATTCAACAGAACACAAAAATCCAGCCTAAATGGATACATACTGCAAACATCTGCCTTGCAGGTTGACTTCCAAGTGCCCCAATAAATACGTAAGTAGGCATCACATTTGCTTTGTTCAGGTTAAACAAAAGGCACTGTTAATGAAGCTCTGAAATGCTATTCATCATTTTTAACACTTTGAAATGAACTGCTTGCAACTGAAAACTTTTAAGACCAGAGTTAGTTTTCTTGATAATGCTGAAGTCTAACTACAGCAGTACTAATGTATATACCACCTCAAAACTTTCTACAAGTTATACATGCATCTCTGTCCTGAAGTTTTTTCCTCTTTCATAGTGATGTGAGATCTGTGGCCTTGCAGCCCTTACTAAAAGCCATAGTTGTTCTCACCAATGGCATGCTGGCTAAGGCTGCTATGGATTGTAGTTCCACAAGACTTTGATACTTTTATTTTTCCTAACCCCGAACTTCTGAAGAACAATTAGGGGCATACATAAAAGGAAGTGTTGTTTAAATTACAGCATGTTCTTATATACCACAAATTCTTACTGCCTATCCCCTGATTGAAACCATACACCATAATTAGCTACATACCACACAGTAGTTATGCTTGGACCATTCTGCTTGCATACAACATTGCATCTCCTCAGCAAAAAAATTCTCAATAAATAAACATCAGGTCAACTGCTTGGTCCTTCATCTTTCCCAAATTGTGTAGCTATTTAAGCAAAATTGTCTAGCAAGGATCTAATTTTTCAGAAACCAATATATTTTTTTATTTGTTCTTTCTCTCTCATACTTTCTCCACCCTTTACATCTCCATGCAGGACCTGAGCAAAACAAAACAAAACAAAACAAAATAAAAAAAAAACAAACAAAAAAAACAAACAAAAAACAGCTGCAGGGGATTATATAAAATTTT